AACCACAGATGTCTGGAATTTCAGGAATTACTGTGTATTCCTGCTAACTAACAAAGCAGGTGCACACTTCCCCACTGACAGACACAAGCTAAAGGTTACTTTTCCCTGACCCTTACCAGGAATGACACAACGTATCAGAAATTCTCAGCCCAAACATGAAAGTGTTTGTTCACTTCAAAACCTCAAGGCCCCATATAAACCAGCGCCACTTCCCAGTTCATTTGAAGTAGATCTTCAAGTCTGCCCTCCCTTCGTTTACACATTAAGAATCTAGCCCTTGTAAGAAAGCTCAGGACAAATGCACCATTAATTAAGCAACCTGGATTCCACGAACAACTGTGTTTCAAAATACAGCTCTTCTTTCACTGCCCTCTTGCTACATACCCTCTGCGGATGTCATCAAGAAACTGGGCATTGGATGGATCCTGGTAGCTCCTCAGTTCTCCGCTGTCCAGGCTGAATCCACTCTTCCAGAGCTTCAGTACAACATGCACCTGCAGCAGTCCCCAAACAACAATCAGCCTCACTAAGCATCATACTAAGAATAACTGGACGCAAAGAGAAAAGCTGCTGACTGGCAGGGAATTTCAAGCTGCAGAAAACATTCCAGCAAGGTTCGTCTTGATCAGTACATTCAGCAGCAAGGAAAAAATCTGAAGCATTGGCCATGGATTGGTCATGCATCAGCTCCTAGAAGGTGACAACACAGACCCCTTTGCTGATGAATACGGCTGAAAAGCCCAAGGTATGTCAGACAACGAGCCCAAACCAAACTCTCACCAAGGATATTTGCTCACAACCCAAGCACAGGAGGATTGTGTACTGATGTTGTCAGCTCTGCGTCTCTTCAATGAATAAAGCAGCTTTACTGTGCAGTGCTCTTTGCACAGCACTTTTCACAATCCATATAATCACAGTACAGAGGCTGAGAAAAGATCCCCATGCTTCTAAGGAACACGCAAATTCTTAACCAGAAGTTCACCAGAACACTGCTTACCCAAGTCTCAAGCATGGGCTATTTTTTTTCCCCCAATCAGAAATCCCACAAGAAGTGGGGTTTACCATCCTCCTGAATTGCTGTCAAGCTTTATATTCTCTGGCTCACAAGCTTTGTAGCTATAGAAGAGAAATCCCCCCGGTGACATCTACAAAACAGAACAGAGAGCTACTCACATCCTGAACAGAGCTCTGCCTCCTCTCCCCTGCCACATAGGCAGACTCTTCCTCTGGAGTAGCCCCAAGGCGATATCCTCCCCCTGCAAAAGGCTGTAAGAGAGACAGGCAAAGAGGTTACAGGGTGACACAGACCCAGCACAGCTTGCTTCTCCTTCCCCAACACCGTTCTGAAGGAACGGGGAGGCCCTCAGGGTAGCAGCAACATCTGCTACTCTGCGGGCACAGTGACCAGCTCGGAACAGTCAGTAAATATGGCTCAAAGTGACTTTTCTTGCCACTTCGACACATGAACTAGAGCTGCACTAACAGCCAAACCCAGACTTCACTTTCTTTTAAAATAGTTTCAGGACTCCACAGTACCCAACAGCTGCCACAGTGGGAGCCACACACAGATGATTACAACATAAAACAACTGAAAGAGGGGAAAAAAAAAGAAACTCAGCACTCCTCACTTTAGGCTTGCTGCTCTCGCCGCTGCTTTTGGCTGTCCGATCAACCGCCACAGCACCGTGCTCCTTCGCTCCTTTGAACAGATCTTCCACCAGCTCGTTGGGACTCTTCTTCCTTGGAGGACCAACGATCTGCTGTCCACTTCTCTCTGAGCCACCAGCATAAAACCTAGGCAGAAAGCACACCGCTGCTGGGTAAGACTGGACCACAGCTTCTCCAGGATTCAGCAGTTTTATATCAGGAATTAGGTGTACACTTTTGTGCAGCTTAATGAAACAGTTTGAATCCACAAATATTAGTAATGACCACTGTATCTGCCACTTAAAGTAACTGATATAAATAAAAAAAAGCCTGTGTGCCTCAGGAAATTGTAAAGTTACCCACTGATCAGCAGTCATGAAATGATAACGACTCTCTCAGACCTAGAAAGAGATACAGTCTAGCACTGGAAGAGCTTTATCAGTCTAGTCCCAGCCAGGCTACTGACTTCACACAAGACTTTTAGCAGGTCTCTGACCTCTCAGATGGAAGAAGGCAGGCAATGACTACAGGAAACGTCCTCACTCACTGAGGAAATAACTGGTACTTGGAGGGAAGGTATTAATACTGTGCTGAAAGTTCAGAGCACATGGGACAGGACTGAGCAGAAAGCAATGAACACACACTCAATGAAGTGCAATTAAACACTTCTGGAAGATTGGGTTGATTAGATTCCAGCTGGTTTCCAACACATACACAGCTCACAGCTGAGTGCAGAAGACCAGGTGGCCTACCTATACCTTAAGTGTTTGCAACTACTTGCAGCTGACACAGGGGAAGACTTCTCTGCTAGTGGGCCACGTCCCCACTGAAAAAAGGGACCTACATTTTTCCTTTCCACCTCCACATTCCATTACATTCTCCTTAAGCAGCACTTCAAGCCACACAGACAAGCAAAACGAAAAACAGTCCCTGCGTTATTCCCATATTTGTGTTCTCCAGGGACACAAGTGATGATTTGGGTTTTTTCCCCAAGGGCTCCCACATCCTACCTCAGACTTTCTCTCAGCAGCACAAATGAGAGATGAAAAAAGGTGTTTATACAGCAACATGGAGCATGTGCTCACACACAGAATTTACACTGACCAAAGTTTGGGTCAGACCTGAGATTTTTCTGCACAGGAATGACGTATCTGCTTAAATCTGCTTTTGAACAATAATCTGTACGCATGCAGCAAGCCATAAAAAAAAAAGACAGGGTTTTAATTCTTTAACTGAAAACTCACCGCTGTCCCTCTTCCTCTTCGTCATCATCCTCCTGTGCATGAACAAGGTCTCTAAACGATGTTACTCGATGGTCACTGCAAAAGTCAATCAAAGCACGTCAGCCCCATGACACAGCTCAAACACGTGCGCAGAAGCTGCTGAGCACGGCACGTTGGGTTTGACTCTGCTCTACTTTTAGGATCTGAATGAGATCACAGGTCAGCGCTGGTGTAACCAAGCAGTGAACAAAGTTCTTGGGCATCTGTAGCAATCACCGCAACCAAAAACAACAGCGAGAGCACCCGAGGAGGCTCGGAAGGTGGCTGCAGGCCCAGCAGATGAGGTAACTCCTCAGTCATCTTCCCTGTCACGTAATGGATTCGGTTGCCTCTTTCAGAGGGCAGTCATTTCCAAACCTGTACAGACACAGGTTGCTCTGCCAGGCCCCGGTAAAGGCCAGCCTCCAACAACGCTCCTGTGGTCTGAGGCAAAATAATGGTTCTTCAGCAGTATGGAATTTACTCAAAGCCTGAAATACGAGCGCTTTGTCCTCGCCATACAGCCAGTAACCCCTTCTCTTTAAAAGTAGCATTCCCCTGAGAGATTGAGAAATCCAGTCTGAGAACTCCTAGCATAGGAATTCGGCAGGGACAAATTATTTAACTTATTTTTGTAAAACTCTTAACCTGGTTAGATAAGGTGCAACACAAAATCCGAAAATATTGTTCCTGTGGATATACAACCTGCTTAAATACAAGTGTTACCGACTGCCTGATTGTCTTCTAACCTCAAAACACTATTTTTTTCCTGAGCAATGAAGCGAATTACTCTAACTGGCCTATAGATCAGCTGTGGAATAACACCCGTGCTCGTGATGTAGAAAAGTGGATATTTTCACAATTTCTGGAGTCATATAGAGTGAATTAAATCTAAAAGCACTGCGGAGTTTCCGAATAAATATCTAGCGCCCGTGCTTTAGACAGAGCACGGGTTTTGATGGGATTAATCGCCGTGAGGTTTTAAAAAGCCTCAGTGAACACCTCAGCCGGAGCTCCCCCCTCACCTGGCCGCGGTGCCTCTGGACACGGCGCTGGGTGCCGGCTGGGGAAGGGTCAGGATGTCCTCGTCGCCCCCGTCCTCGTAGAAACTGGCGAGCGCGATCTGCAAAGAAACACCCAGAGAATCATCCGGGATCCGAGAATCACCTCAAACACAAGGCAATAATAACACATCTCCTGAGGGACGCCATCGCTGAAGCCGTTTTATGGGATTTGGAAGCCCAGGCAATGCTTGGGCTCTGTTAACACAAGGGCAGCCACCACCATGGCTCATCCCTGCCCCCAAAACAGCGGCCTGGCAGCACCCAAAGGCGGCCTGGCAGCACCCATGGGTGCTGAGGGGGCTCCTTGGGGGGGTGAGGTCGGGCACCCCCAAGGGGGTCGCGGAGCCCTCCCTTCAGCGGGGAGCCTTCAGCCAAGCCCCGAGGTGCCGGGCCCGGGGGCTACCTGCAGATCCCAGCCGGCCGACTCGAGGAAGAAGCGGGCCCGCTCCTCCTCGGCGCCCGTCACGGCCACGAACTCCCTCAGCGCCTCCTCCCTGGCCGCCATCTTACGGCGCTGCCGGGACCCGCCCCGGTACGGCTCGGCTCGGCCCGGCCCGGCACGGCTCGGCACGGCTGGCAAAGAGCTCCGGATGGGAAACCTGGGGCCCAGAGCCCCGCACCGGTCACAGCTCCCCCCGGCGGACCGGCGGAGTCGGTCCCGTGCCGAGCCGAGCCGTGCCGAGCCGTGCCGAGCCGTGCTGACCCGTGCCAAACTGTGCCGTGCCACCCCATGCCACCCCATGCCATGCCGTGCCATCCCATACCATGCTGTGCCACCCCATGCCATGCCGTGCCGAGCCGTGCTGCCCCGTGCCATGCCACGCTGCCCTGTTCTGAGCCGTGCCCCACGTTCCCCGTACAGGCAGCACACCACGGCCCCTTCCCCCGGTGAGGAAGAAGAGGCTGAGGCCGAGGAGCCCAGGAGGGAACAGTGGGGACCAGGGGGGAACAGTGGGGACCAGGGGGGGCCCTGCCTGGAATTGGCCCTTTATGGGAAGCGTTCTCCTGGAAGAAGATGCCATGAAGGTTCTTTTTGCAAGGATTTGTATTGATGGTGATAATCAAGTGTGGAGGAATGCAGCAAAAGGATGGGAACAGTGGGGGGACGGGGACAGGCAGCAGGGGACAGGGACAGCCAGGAGAGGATGGGGATGGCCAGGGGGGTCTGGGACCCTCAGCCCAGGGAGCTGCCAAGGGATGCGGCAACAGTGCAGGCCGAGGAGGCAGAGGGGGGAGGCAGCAGGGGGGGGTGGTGCATGGCCCCCAAAAGAAGCAGCGGGTCTGCTCGTGCAGCACCACCATCCCGAGCCTGGCACGCTCGGCTTGGAGGTGACGGAGCTCTGACAACGCTCTCCTGCGTCTCTCCCGTCTCGGTGGCCTCGCTGTGCCGCGCTGGCCTCTCTTCAGGCCTGCCAGCGCTTGAAGAGGAAGAAGAGCACGAGGCCGAGGATCGCCTTGTCAAGCAGCATGCAGAGCCACAGGCCGGGGCTGGACAGGAGATGGGCACCTGCAGGAACAGAGGAGTGAGCGCGGGCTGTGGGGAACGCAGCCCCCAGCCCCACAGCCCCCAGCCCCACAGCCCCCGGGTGCCGGTACCTCCCGAGCTGCATCCCTGCTGGCCTGAGGCATCGACCCACAGCGTGGCGCTGCTGCTGAGGGGGTCCTGGCCCTCATGCACCGCCCGGCAGGTGAACACAGATATGTTCTTCTCCGGCACGGCTTGCACCACCACCGTGCTCCTCAGCTCGAACAAGCCCTCGGGCGTCTCAATAGGCCTGGGGGTGCTCGCCGTCTTTATCTCCTTCCCATTCTCCAGCCAGGTGACGGTCACGCTTCCCGGGTAGAAGCCCTGCACGTAGCAGGTGAAGCTCACCGTCTCGTTCAGCCCCACGGGGCCTAGAGGCTGAACCACAACCTTGCTGGGGGGAACTGGGAAGAGAAGCAGCGGCTGGAACTGGTGTCCCCCGACCCCATGCCCATGGGGGCCCTGTCCCAGCCCCGGGGCCGTGAGCACTGGTCCCCACCGAGCCCTCACCTCGCAGGATCTGCCTCAGATGGTAACTCCTCGTCAGCGGGGCCGTCAGCGTGGTGTGCAGCACCTGGCAGGTGAGCTCTGAGCGGATGTCGTCCTTCTGCAGCGTCACCGTCACGGTGCTGGACATGTTGTAGGTGAACTTTGATGGCCCAGGGGTGACATTGGGCAGCTGAGGCTGAATCAGGGTCTTGTCCTTGTACCACTTCACATTGATGTCACTGGGGAAGAACCCCCAGGTCTTGCAGGTGAAGGATGCCTTCTTCCCCGGCTGCACTCGGTATTTGGGCCTGGTCAGAGTCGGGTTGGAGGGTCTGGCTGTGGGAGAAGCGCGGGTCCATCAGCCGTGCTGTGGCCCCTGGACCCGGGACCCTCTCCCTGGGTCAGCTCCTGAGCCCCTGCCCCAGAGCAGAGCCCAGGGCACGGGACGGGGACTGACCCGGCAGGGCTGGCTCCTGCTGGGAGCTGTACTGGGAGCCCCACTCACCCTGCACCAACACCACCGTGCCATTGCCACGCCGATACAACTCATCACCGGTGGCTGTTTTGCGAAACTTCACACAGTAATAGGTGCCGGCATCCTTGGGGTGGACGTCTTTGATGAGGATGGTGAAGTCTGTGCTGGAATCATTCACTGCCCTCATCCCCCGGGATGAGGGGTCTTTTTGGTCATAAATGGTCTCATTGCCACTGCCCCAGATCTTCAGCCACTTCACAGGGCCAAGGGGACCCCCTTCAGTCACGGTGCAGCTCAGGGTCAGTGTCTCCCCCGGCATCACTGATATCTTCTGGGGCTGGTGCAGCTCAAAGCCCTGACCCGCCTGGGCATCGGCACCTGGGGACAGCGAGAGGAGGGTTTGGGGCTGCTGAGGGGCCCTGGAGCCAGGGCACAGCATGGGGCCTTCCCAGAACACCCCCAGCACAAAGCTGGGGGCAGTGACATCCCTGTCCCTTGCCCTCCAGGGCAGACAGCTCTGTGCTGGCTCTGCCCCCGGGCTGCAGTGCATGAAGGAGAAAGCAGGGACCTGGAGATGCTCAAATAAAGCAAAAATAAAGCAAAGCTTTGAGCAGGGGATAAAAGCAAGCTGGAAGAGGGCAGGGAAGAGCCGCAGATCCCTGTGGGCAGAGGGAAGGGTTGCTCTGCCAGCAGCAGGGGGGAGCAGGCCCTGGCAAAGGCGCCGGGGCTGTGCAGGGCTGGGCACTCACCCGGGGCACTGCCCAGCAGCAGCAGCAGCAGGCAGGCAAGAGGCAGCGCCTGTGTCACCGGAGCCATGGCGAGTGGCTTCATCGTCCTCCAAGGTGCGGCTTGGTGTGCCTCAAGTTGGTGGGGCTCTGCGAACCCTTCCTGCTAAAAGGGAAGGAAGCGGTTTGGGTTTTGCCTCTGGCTGAGCTCCTCTACGTAGCCCTGCACAAGCCCAGAGGCTTCCCACTCCCTCGGTGTTTGTGCCATCGTGAGCCTGAGATTGGGTCCAGCACAGACTTCACCATCCTCATCAGAGATGTCTGCCCTGAGGACGCCGGCACCTATTGCTGTGTGAAGTTTCGCAAAGCAGCCACCAGTGAAGAGTTGTATTGGCGTGGTGAGGGCACGGTGGTACTCGTGCTGCAGGGTGAGTGGGGCTCCCAGTACAGCCCAGCACGACCCCACTGTGACCAGCCCAGCTTGGCCCCAGCCCTGCCTGCGGCCAGACCCACGCTGCCCCGTGCCCACCACCCTCTCCACGCTCCACCTTGTGTCTTCACAGGGACTTCTCCATTTCCCTGCGTGGAGGTTGCAGCTGCCGTGCTCTTCTTCCTCCTCCTTATCTTCATCCTCATCTGCGTGTACCACAAGAAGTGTCGGGGTGAGGGGCAGAGCCAGGGTGCAGCTGGGGCACGATGCTCACCCATCCCCATCCTGTCCTGTGCATGGAGCCCAGGGACCTCCTTGCCCCCAGCAGTGATGTCCGGGATGCAGAGACCCCGAGGCCACCCCAGCAGGTAGGAGCGAGCTGTGGGTACAGGGCAGGGCCCCCAGCCCCGATGCCCCGACGTGGGCGAGCTGCTGGGCACCTGCGCCTTTGGCCGGGAGCCCCGGGGATGAAGCAGCCCCGGGGCCAGGGCAGGCGCTGGGCGAGCAGAGGCTGCTGCAGGGGGGCTGTGTGTTGTGGGGAGGGGTGTACATGGGGCTGTGGCATGGCCGAGCCAGTACGAAGATGCCGTGGGGGAGCTTTTTCAAAGGATTTGTATTTTTGGTGATAACCATGTGCGCAGCAGCACAGTGAGGGGATGGGGACGGGGGGGGGTCCGGGACCTCTGGCCTAGTGAGTTGCCAAAGGACGGGGCCTCGCCGGGTGCTGAGGAGGCAGAAGAACGAGGCAGCAGGGGTGGTGGTGCAGGACCCCCGAAAGAAGCAGCGGCTCTGCTCGTGTAGCACCACAGGGCCCGAGCCTGACAGATGGAGGTGACGGAGGTGACGGAGGTGACGGAGCTCTGACAACGCTCTCCTGCGTCTCTCCTGTCTCGGTGGCCTCGCTGTTCCGCCCTGGCCTCTCTTCAGGCCTGCCAGCGCTTGAAGAGGAAGAAGAGCACGAGGCCGAGGATCGCCTTGTCAAGCAGCATGCAGAGCCACAGGCCGGGGCTGGACAGGAGATGGGCACCTGCAGGAGCAGAGGAGTGAGCGCGGGCTGTGGGGAACGCAGCCCCCAGCCCCACAGCCCTCCTGAAGCGCGGGTCCATCAGCCGGGCTGTGCCCCCCTGGCCCCGGGACCCTCTCCCTGGGCCGGCTCCTGAGCCCCTGTCCCAGAGCAGAGCCCAGGGGATGGGACGGGGACTGACCCGGCAGGGCTGGCTCCTGCTGGGAGCTGTACTGGGAGCTGTACTGGGAGCCCCACTCACCCTGCACCACCACCACCACCACCTCCGTGCCCTCGCCACGCTGATACAACTCAACATCATCGCTGGCTGTTTTGCGAAACTTCACACAGTAATAGGTGCCGGCGTCCTCGGGGCGAACGTCCCTGATGAGGATGGTGAAGTCTGTGTTGGACTCATTCACTGCCCTCGTCACACGGGATGAGGAGCCTTTTTGGTCATAAATGGTCTCACTGCCACTGCCCCAGCCCTTCAGCCACTTCACGGGGCCAAGGGGACCCCCTCCAGTCACGGTGCAGATCAGGGTCAGCGTCTCCCCTGCCATCACCGACACCTCCTTCTGGGGCTGGTGCAGCTGAAAGCCCTGAACCGCCTGGGCATCCGCACCTGGGGACAGCGAGAGGAGGGTTTGGGGCTGCTGAGGGGCCCTAGAGCCAGGGCACAGCATGGGGCCTCCCCCGACCCCCAGCACAAAGCTGAGGGCAGTGACATCCCTGTCCCTTGCCCCCCAGGGCAGACAGCTCTGTGCTGGCTCTGCCCCCGGGCTGCAGTGCGGGAAGGAGAAAGCAGGGACCTGGAGATGCTCGAGTAAAGCAAAAATAAAGCAAAGCTTTGAGCTGGGGATAAAAGCAAGCTGGAAGAGGGCAGGGAAGAGCCCCAGATCCCTGTGGGCAGAGGGAAGGGTTGCTCTGCCAGCAGCAGGGGGGAGCAGGCCCTGGCAAAGGCGCCGGGGCTGTGCAGGGCTGGGCACTCACCCGGGGCACTGCCCAGCAGCAGCAGCAGCAGGCAGGCAAGAGGCAGCGCCTGTGTCACCGGAGCCATGGCGAGTGGCTTCATCGTCCTCCAAGCTGTGTCTCGGTGTGCCTCAAGTTGGTGGGGCCCTGGGAACCCTTTCTGCCAAAGGGGAAGGAAACGGTTTGGGTTTTGCCTCTCTCCGTACTCCTCTGCATTGCCCTGCGCAAGCCCAGAGGCTTCCCACTCCCTCGGTGTTTGTGCCATCGTGAGCCTGAGATTGGGTCCAGCACAGACTTCAGCATCCTCGTCAGAGATGTCTGCCCCGAGGAGGCCGGCACCTATTATAGTGTGAAGTTTCTCAAAACAGCCACCAGTGAAGAGTTGTATCGGCGTGGTGAGGGCACGGTGGTACTCGTGGTGCAGGGTGAGTGGGGCTCCCAGTACAGCCCAGCACGACCCCACTGTGACCAGCCCAGCTTGGCCCCAGCCCTGCCTGCGGCCAGACCCACGCTGCCCCGCGCCCACCACCCTCTCCGCGCTCCACCTTGTGTCTTCACAAGGACTTCTCCATTTCTTAGCGTGGAGGTTGCAGCTGCTGTGCTGTTCTTCCTTGTCTCTTCTTTCATCCTGTTATATATGGAGTGGTAATTCCTGTCAAGAAAATGGTTGATATTAATAAAGAAGGGGAAATTTGGGGATGTGGCCATGGGGGCTGGAAAACCCCATGATTGAGATAACATTAAACTCTTAACGACAAAGACATCAGGAATATAAAAGAGTTTAGAGGGAACAAAGAAGGGTGATTCAGGAGACTCCATGCAGTCTCTGGTTTCTTGTTCTCCAGTCATTAAGGCATGGATGTTTCTGGGTGTTTGCTGATGTTGTTGCACTCAAAGATGTTTGACCAATGAAAAGTTGTTTTGAAAAGAACTGCTGTGGGGAGAAGGATGTAAGAGTGGAGCCTGCCCTCAAGATAAAAAAGGCAGCACGATGAAGTTACATCAATAAAGAAGCAGGAAAAAGAAGTGAATAGGAACAGGCTGGCAGAATGGAGACCAGGACAGGAACAGGCACTTTGATTGCCTCATGAAGATCGGTTCGGCCAGACTCAGCAAACTGCTCAGAGCTCATACAGAAAGTCGCTGGGAATAGGCACTGGAGCTGGAGAGAAGCTCGAGCTGAGAGAAGCGGACCCAGCACACAACTGCCCCTCGCTGGTCAGCAGTTGCGCATTATGGGGAATTGTACGTCCTTAGGAACAAAGACTGTCCTGGTAACCTTACAGCTTATTCTTCTTAGCAGTCGGACAGTTTATGAGCCTGAAATATGGGACCAAACTGAAGTCACGATGTGGGACTCTGCCACTAAAAATGACAAGGTTGCAGTGGGATTGCTCAGCAACTGGCGAGCAATCTCTAAGGCCTTGAAGAGCCCTGTGGAGCCACAATCACAAACGTGTGGCTTGCCAGACAGTGAGGGAGCTGGAGCTCCTTTACTGATCCTTCTGCTACACCATGGATCCCTAAGCTGCTACACCCATCGAAGGCTTTTGCTGTTTTGCCCCCTGATGACCTGGACGTGCCTTTGGACCCAGGCCTCATTGGCCTTCACAAGGAGATGGATCTGCTTTTCTTCGATCTGGGAAGAACGGGATACATCAGGCCTGAAGAATGGAAAATGGAGACTGTTAAGTTATGGAACTTAAAGGATTGTTTGTTACCTATCCTGATTGTGTGTATGTATAGGCATACTCGGGTTATTATGTAAAGCAATGTTCTGTATGCATGTATTTAGAATGTTTGATGTGTGTGTGTGCGTGTTGGTGGAGCGTAGACTCCCTGCACACCCAGCACTGTTTACTTACCTTTTATACATTTTAGAAATATTTGTTTTATAAATATTACAAAATTCAGATTGAATTGAGACCTCATTTATAACAATCCTCATCTTCTGCGTGTACCACACGAAGTGTCGGGGTGAGGGGCAGAGCCAGGGTGCAGCCAGGGCACCCGCAGGCAGCTGCTCACCCATCCCCATCCCGTGCTGTGCATGGAGCCCAGGGACCTCCTTGCCCCTAGCAGTGATGTCCGGGCTGCAGAGACCCCAAGGACGCCCCAGCAGGTAGGAGTGAGCTGTGGGTACAGGGCAGGGCCCCCAGCCCCGATGCCCCGACGTGGGCGAGCTGCTGGGCACCTGCGCCTTTGGCCGGGAGCCTTGGGGATGCCACGGCCCCGGGGCCAGGGCAGGCGCTGGGCGAGCAGCAGCTGCTGCAGGGGGCATGGCCGACACATTATGAAGATGCCGCGAGCGTGCTTTTTCCAAGGATTTGTATTTATTGTGATAACCACGTGTGGAGCAGCGCAACGAGGGGATGGGGACAATGGGGGGGGACTGGGACCCTCAGTCCAGAGAGCTGCCAAAGGACAGGGCCTTGCCGGGGACCAAGCAGGCAGAGGGGGGAGGCAGCAGGGGAGGTGGTGCAGGACCCCTGAAAGAAGCAGCGGGTCTGCTCGTGCAGCACCACCATCCCGAGCCTGGCACGCTTGGCTCGGAGGAGACGCAGGAGAGCTCTGACAACGCTCTCCTGCGTCTCTCCCATCTCGGTGGCCTCGCTGTGCCGCGCTGGCCTCTCTTCAGGCCTGCCAGCGCTTGAAGAGGAAGAAGAGCACGAGGCCGAGGATCGCCTTGTCAAGCAGCATGCAGAGCCACAGGCCGGGGCTGGACAGGAGATGGGCACCTGCAGGAGCAGAGGAGTGAGCGCGGGGTGTGGGGAACGCAGCCCCCAGCCCCACAGCCCCCGGGTGCCGGTACCTCCCGAGCTGCATCCCTGCTGGCCTGAGGCATCGACCCACAGCGTGGCGCTGCTGCTGAGGGGGTCCTGGCCCTCGTGCACCACCCGGCAGGTGAACACAGATATGTTCTTCTCCGGCACGGCTTCCACCGCCACCGTGCTCCTCAGCTCGAACAAGCCCTCGGGCGTCTCAATAGGCCTGGGGGTGCTCGCCGTCTTTATCTCCTTCCCATTCTCCAGCCAGGTGACGGTCACGCTTCCCGGGTAGAAGCCCTGCACGTAGCAGGTGAAGCTCACCGTCTCGTTCAGCCCCACGGGGCCTAGAGGCTGAACCACAACCTTGCTGGGGGGAACTGGGAAGAGAAGCAGCGGCTGGAACTGGTGTCCCCCGACCCCGTGCCCATGGGGGCTCTGTCCCAGCCCCGGGGCCGTGAGCACTGGTCCCCACCGAGCCCTCACCTCGCAGGATCTGCCTCAGATGGTAACTCCTCGTCAGCGGGGCCGTCAGCGTGGTGTGCCCCACCTGGCAGGTGAGCTCTGAGCGGATGTCGTCCTTCTGCAGCGTCACCGTCACGGTGCTGGACATGTTGTAGGTGAACTTTGATGGCCCAGGGGTGACATTGGGCAGCTGAGGCTGAATCAGGGTCTTGTCCTTGTACCACTTCACATTGATGTCACTGGGGAAGAACCCCCAGGTCTTGCAGGTGAAGGATGCCTTCTTCCCCGGCTGCACTCGGTATTTGGGCCTGGTCAGAGTCGGGTTGGAGGGTCTGGCTGTGGGAGAAGCGCGGGTCCATCAGCCGTGCTGTGGCCCCTGGACCCGGGACCCTCTCCCTGGGTCAGCTCCTGAGCCCCTGCCCCAGAGCAGAGCCCAGGGCACGGGACGGGGACTGACCCGGCAGGGCTGGCTCCTGCTGGGAGCTGTACTGGGAGCCCCACTCACCCTGCACCAACACCACCGTGCCATTGCCACGCCGATACAACTCATTATTGCCGGTGGCTGTTTTGCGAAACTTCACACAGTAATAGGTGCCGGCATCCTTGGGGTGGATGTCTTTGATGAGGATGGTGAAGTCTGTGCTGGAATCATTCACTGCCCTCATCCCCCGGGATGAGGGGTCTTTTTGGTCATAAATGGTCTCATTGCCACTGCCCCAGATCTTCAGCCACTTCACAGGGCCAAGGGGACCCCCTTCAGTCACGGTGCAGCTCAGGGTCAGTGTCTCCCCCGGCATCACTGATATCTTCTGGGGCTGGTGCAGCTCAAAGCCCTGACCCGCCTGGGCATCGGCACCTGGGGACAGCGAGAGGAGGGTTTGGGGCTGCTGAGGGGCCCTAGAGCCAGGGCACAGCATGGGGCCTCTCCTGACCCCCAGCACAAATGCTGGGGGCAGTGACATCCCTGTCCCTTGCCCCCCAGGGCAGACAGCTCTGTGCTGGCTCTGCCCCCGGGCTGCAGTGCGGGATGGAGAAAGCAGGGGGCTGGAGATGCTCGAGTAAAGCAAAAATAAAGCAAACCATTGAGCAGGGGATAAAAGCAAGCTGGAAGAGGGCAGGGAAGAGCCGCAGATCCCTGTGGGCAGAGGGAAGGGTTGCTCTGCCAGCAGCAGGGGGGAGCAGGCCCTGGCAAAGGCGCCGGGGCTGTGCAGGGCTGGGCACTCACCCGGGGAACTGCCCAGCAGCAGCAGCAGCAGGCAGGCAAGAGGCAGCGCCTGTGTCACCGGAGCCATGGCGAGTGGCTTCGTCCCCCTCCAAGCTGTGTCTCGGTGTGCCTCAAGTTGGTGGGGCCCTGCGAACCCTTCCTGCTAAAAGGGAAGGAAGCGGTTTGGGTTTTGCCTCTGGCCAAGCTCCTCTACGTAGCCCTGCACAAGCCCAGAGGCTTCCCACTCCCTCGGTGTTTGTGCCATCGTGAGACTGAGATTGGGTCCAGCACAGACTTCAGCATCCTCGTCAGAGATGTCTGCCCCGAGGAGGCCGGCACCTATTATAGTGTGAAGTTTCTCAAAACAGCCACCAGTGAAGAGTTGTATCGGCGTGGTGAGGGCACGGTGGTACTCGTGGTGCAGGGTGAGTGGGGCTCCCAGTACAGCCCAGCACGACCCCACTGTGACCAGCCCAGCTTGGCCCCAGCCCTGCCTGCGGCCAGACCCACGCTGCCCCGCGCCCACCACCCTCTCCACGCTCCGCCTTGTGTCTTCACAGGGACTTCTCCATTTCCCTGTGTGGAGGTTGCAGCTGCCGTGCTCTTCTTCCTCCTCGTCACCTTCATCCTCATCTTCTGCGTGTACCACAAGAAGTGTCGGGGTGAGGGGCAGAGCCTGGATGCAGCCGGGGCACGATGCTCACCCATCCCCATCCCGTGCTGTGCAGGGAGCCCAGGGACCTCCTTGCCCCCAGCAGCAATGTCCGGGATGCAGAGACCCCGAGGCAGCCCCAGCAGGTAGGAGCGAGCTGTGGGTACAGGGCAGGGCCCCCAGCCCCGATGCCCCGACGTGGGCGAGCTGCTGGGCACCTGCGCCTTTGGCCGGGAGCCCCGGGGATGAAGCAGCCCCAGGGCCAGGGCAGGCGCTGGGTGAGCAGCAGCTGCTGCAGGGGGGCTGTGTGTTGTGGGGAGGGGTGTACATGGGGCTGTGGCATGGCCGAGCCAGTATGAAGATGCTGTGAGGGAGCTTTTTCAAAGGATTTGTATTTTTGGTGATAACCATGTGCGCAGCAGCGCAGTGAGGGGATGGGGACGGGGGGGGGGTCCGGGACCTCTGGCCTAGTGAGTTGCCAAGGGACGGGGCCTCGCCGGGTGGCTGAGGAGGCAGAAGAACGAGGCAGCAGGGGTGGTGGTGCAGGACCCCTGAAAGAAGCAGCGGGTCTGCTCGTGCAGCACCACAGGGCCCGAGCCTGGCACGCTCGGCTTGGAGGTGACGGAGCTCTGACAACGCTCTCCTGCGTCTCTCCCGTCTCGGTGGCCTCGCTGTGCCGCGCTGGCCTCTCTTCAGGCCTGCCAGCGCTTGAAGAGGAAGAAGAGCACGAGGCCGAGGATCGCCTTGTCAAGCAGCATGCAGAGCCACAGGCCGGGGCTGGACAGGAGATGGGCACCTGCAGGAGCAGAGGAGTGAGTGTGGGGCGTGGGGAACGCAGCCCCCAGCCCCACAGCCCCCGGGTGCTGGTACCGCCTGAGCTGTTCCCCTGCTGTCCTGAGGCAGCGACCCACAGCGTGGTGCTGCTGCTGAGGGATTCCTGGCCCTCGTGCAGCACCCGGCAGGTGAACACGGAGCCGTTCTTCTCCGGCACGGCTTCCACCGCCACCGTGCTCCTCAGCTCGAACAAGCCCTCGGGGGTCTCAATAGGCCTGGGGGTGCACCCCGTGTTCATCTCCGTCCCATTCTCCAGCCAGGTGACGGTCACGCTTCCCGGGTAGAAGCCCTGCACGTAGCAGGTGAAGCTCACCGTCTCGTTCAGCCCCACGGGGCGCAGAGGCTGAACCACAACCGTGCTGGGGGGAACTGGGAAGAGAAGCAGCGGCTGGAGACCGCGTCCCCCAACCCCGTGCCCACGGGGGCTCTGTCCCAGCCCCGGGGCCGTGAGCACCGGTCCCCACCGAGCCCTCACCTCGCAGGATCTGGCTCAGATGGTAACTCCTCGTCAGCGGGGCCGTCAGCGTGGTGTGCAGCACCTGGCAGGTGAGCTCTGAGCGGATGTCGTCCTTCTGCAGCGTCACCGTCACGGTGCTGGACATGTTGTAGGTGAACTTTGATGGCCCAGGGGTGACTTTACGCAGCTGAGACTGAATCAGGGTCTTGTCCTTGAACCACTTCACATTGATGTCACTGGGGAAGAACCCCCAGGTCTTGCAGGTGAAGGATGCCTTCTTCCCCGGCTGCACTCGGTATTTGGGCCTGGTCAGAATCGGGTTGGAGGGTCTGGCTGTGGGAGAAGCGCGGGTCCATCAGCCGGGCTGTGCCTCCCTGGCCCCGGGACCCTCTCCCTGGGCCGGCTCCTGAGCCCCTGCCCCAGAGCAGAGCCCAGGGGATGGGACAGGGGCTGACCCGGCAGGGCTGGCTCCTGCTGGGAGCTGTACTGGGAGCCCCACTCACCCTGCACCGCCAACACCACCACCTCCGTGCCATCGCCATGCCGATACAACTCTTCACCGGTGGCTCTTTTGAGAAACTTCACACAGTAATAGGTGCCGGCATCCTCGGGGCGGACGTCGCTGATGAGGATGGTGAAGTCTGTGTTGGAAACAGCCACTGCCCTCATCCCCCGGGTTGAGGAGTCTTTTTGGTCATAAATGGTCTCACTGCCACTGCCCCAGCCCTTCAGCCACTTCACGGGGCCAACGGGACCCCCTTCAGTCACGATGCAGCTCAGGGTCAGCGTCTCCCCCACTCTCACCGACACCTCCTTCTGGGGCTGGTGTAGCTCGAAGCCCTGACCCGCCCGGGCATCCGCACCTGGGGACAGCGACAGCACAGCAGGGGCTGAGCTCCTGAAGGAGGCGAGAGCTTGCTCTGATCCCCCTGCCCGGCACAGGCACAGCACCCGCAGCTTGCTCAGCGCTTTAGCCCAGAAATAGTGCAGGGTGTGGGGGAGAAAGCAGCACTAAACGGGAGCGGTGGAAGCCAACTTCAAAACGAGCAGAAATGAGCAGAGCCCAGGGGACGGGACAGGGGCTGACCCGGCAGGGCTGGCTCCTGCTGGGAGCTGTACTGGGAGCCCCACTCACCCTGCACCAACACCACCGTGCCCTCGCCACGCCGATACAACTCTTTACTGATGCCTGTTTTGCGAAACTTCACACAGTAATAGGTGCCGGTGTCCTCAGGGCGGACATCTTTGATGAGGATGGTGAAGTCTGTGTTGGAATCAATCACTGCCCTCATCACACGGGATGAGTGGTCTAATTGGTCATAAATGGCCTCACTGCGACTGCCCCAGCCCTTCAACCAATTCACAGGGCCGATGGGACTCCCTCCAGTCACGGTGCAGCTCAGGGTCAGCGTCTCCCCCACTCTCACAAACACCTCCTTCTGGGGCTGGTGCAGCTCAAAGCCTGCCTGGGCATCCGCACCTGGGGACAGCGAGAGGAGGGTTTGGGGCTGCTGAGGGGCCCTGGAGCCAGGGCACAGCATGGGGCCTCCCCAACCCCCAGCACAAAGGTGGTGGCAGTGACATCCCTGTCCCTTGCCCCCCAGGGCAGACAGCTCTGTGCTGGCTCTGCCCCCGGGCTGCAGTGCGGGATGGAGAAAGCAGGGGGCTGGAGATGCTCGAGTAAAGCAAAAATAAAGCAAAGCTTTGAGCTGGGGATAAAAGCAAGCTGGAAGAGGGCAGGGAAGAGCCCCAGATCCCTGTGGGCAGAGGGAAGGGTTGCTCTGCCAGCAGCAGGGGGGAGCAGGCCCTGGCAAAGGCGCCGGGGCTGTGCAGGGCTGGGCACTCACCCGGGGCACTGCCCAGCAGCAGCAGCAGCAGGCAGGCAAGAGGCAGCGCCTGTGTCAGCGGAGCCATGGCGAGTGGCTTCGTCCCCCTCCAAGCTGTGTCTCGGTGTGGCTCAACTTGGTGGGGCCCTGGGAACCCTTCCTGCCAAAGGGGAAGGAAGCGGTTTGGGTTTTGCCTCTGGCCGAGCTCCTCTACGTAGCCCTGCACAAGCCCAGAGGGTTCCCACTCCCTCGGTGTTTGTGCCATCGTGAGCCTGAGATTGGGTCCAGCACAGACTTCACCATCCTCATCAGAGATGTCTGCCCTGAGGACGCCGGCACCTATTGCTGTGTGAAGTTTCGCAAAGCAGCCACCAGTGAAGAGTTGTATCGGCGTGGCGATGGCACGGTGGTGGTGGTGCAGGGTGAGTGGGGCTCCCAGTACAGCCCAGCACGACCCCACTGTGACCAGCCCAGCTTGGCCCCAGCCCTGCCTGCGGCCAGACCCACGCTGCCCCGCGCCCACCACCCTCTCCATGCTCCGCCTTGTGTCTTCACAGGGACTTCTCCATTTCCCTGTGTGGAGGTTGCAGCTGCCGTGCTCTTCTTCCTCCTCCTTATCTTCATCCTCATCTTCTGTGTATACCACAAGAAGTGTCGGGGTGAGGGGCAGAGCCAGGGTGCAGCCGGGGCACGATGCTCACCCATCCCCATCCCGTGCTGTGCATGGAGCCCAGGGACCTCCTTGCCCCTAGCAGTGATGTCCGGGCTGCAGAGACCCCGAGGCCGCCCCAGCAGGTAGGAGCGAGCTGTGGGTACAGGGCAGGGCCCCCAGCCCCGATGCCCCGACGTGGGCGAGCTGCTGGGCACCTGCGCCTTTGGCCGGGAGCCCCGGGGATGAAGCAGCCCCGGGGCCAGGGCAGGCGCTGGGCGAGCAGCAGCTGCTGCAGGGGGGCTGTGTGTTGTGGGGAGGGGTGTACATGGGGCTGTGGCATGGCCGAGCCAGTATGAAGATGCCGTGAGGGAGCTTTTTCAAAGGATTTGTATTTTTGGTGATAACCACGTGCGCAGCAGCGCAGTGAGGGGATGGGGACCGGGGGGGGGACCGGGACGCTCAGTTCAGGGAGCTGCCAAGGGACGGGGCCTCGCCGGGTGGTGAGGAGGCAGAAGAACGAGGCAGCAGGGGGGGTGGTGCAGGACCCCCGAAAGAAGCAGCGGCTCTGCTCGTGCAGCACCACCATCCCGAGCCTGGCACGCTCGGCTCGGAGGTGACGGAGCTCTGACAACGCTCTCCTGCGTCTCTCCCGTCTCGGTGGCCTCGCTGTGCTGCCCTGGCCTCTCTTCAGGCCTGCCAGCGCTTGAAGAGGAAGAAGAGCACGAGGCCGAGGATCGCCTTGTCAAGCAGCATGCAGAGCCACAGGCCGGGGCTGGACAGGAGATGGGCACCTGCAGGAACAGGGCAGTGAGCGCGGGGCGTGGGGAACGCAGCCCCCAGCCCCACAGCCCCTGGTTGCCGGTACCTCCCGAGCTGCGTCCCTGCTGGCCTGAGGCATCGACCCACAGCGTGGCGCTGCTGCTGAGGGGGTCCTGGCCCTCGTGCACCACCCGGCAGGTGAACACGGAGCCGTTCTTCTCCGGCACGGCTTGCACCGCCACCGTGCTCCTCAGCTTGAACAAGCCCTCGGGGGTCTCAATAGGCCTGGGGGTGCTCCCCGTGTTCATCTCCTTCCCATTCTCCAGCCAGGTGACGGTCACGCTTCCCGGGTAGAAGCCCTGCACGTCGCAGGTGAAGCTCACTGTCTCGTTCAGCCCCACGGGGCCCAGAGGCTCCAGGACCACTTTGGGGGGAACTGGGAAGAGAAGCAGTGGCTGGAACTGGTGTCCCCTGGCCCTGTCCCAGCCCCGGGGCCGTGAGCACCAGTCCCCACCGAGCCCTCACCTCGCAGGATCTGGCTCAGATGGTAACTCCTGTTCAGCGGGGCCGTCAGCGTGGTGTGCAGCACCTGGCAGGTGAGCTCTGAGCGGATGTCGTCCTTCTGCAGCGTCACCGTCACCGTGCTGGACAGCCTGTAGGTGAAGTTCGATGGCCCAGGGGTGACTTTACGCAGCTGAGACTGAATCGGGGTCTTGTCCTTGAACCACTTCACGCTTATGTTACAGGGGAAGAACCCCCAGGAGTTGCAGGTGAAGGATACCGTATACCCTGGCTGCACGCGGTAACTGGGCCCGGACACGATTGGTTTGGAAGGTTTGGCTGTGGGAGAAGCGTGGGTCCATCAGCCGGGCTGTGCCCACTTGGCCCTGGGACCGTCTCCCTGGGCCGGCTCCTGAGCCCCTGCCCCAGAGCAGAGCCCAGGGAACAGGACGGGGGCTGACCCGGCAGGGCTGGCTCCTGCTGGGAGCTGTACTGGGAGCCCCACTCACCCTGCACCGACACCACTGTGCCATCGCCATGCCGATACAACTCATCATCACCGGTGGCTGCTTTGCGAAACTTCACACAGTAATAGGTGCTGGCATCCTCAGGGCGGACGTCCCTGATGAGGATGGTGAAGTTTGTGTTGGACCCATTCACTGCTTTCTTCCCCCAGGTTGAGGGGTCTTTTTGGTCATAAATGGTCTTGTTGTCACTGCCCCAGCCCTTCAGCCACTTCACAGGGCCAAGGGGACCCCCTGCAGTCACGGTGCAGATCAGGGTCAGCGTCTCCCCCACTCTCACAAACACCTCCTTCTGGGGCTGGTGCAGCTCAAAGCCTGCCTGGGCATCCGCACCTGGGGACAGCGAGAGGAGGGTTTGGGGCTGCTGAGGGGCCCTGGAGCCAGGGCACAGCATGGGGCCTCCCCAACCCCCAGCACAAAGGTGGTGGCAGTGACATCCCTGTCCCTTGCCCCCCAGGGCAGACAGCTCTGTGCTGGCTCTGCCCCCGGGCTGCAGTGCGGGATGGAGAAAGCAGGGGGCTGGAGATGCTCGAGTAAAGCAAAAATAAAGCAAAGCTTTGAGCTGGGGATAAAAGCAAGCTGGAAGAGGGCAGGGAAGAGCCCCAGATCCCTGTGGGCAGAGGGAAGGGTTGCTCTGCCAGCAGCAGGGGGGAGCAGGCCCTGGCAAAGGCGCCGGGGCTGTGCAGGGCTGGGCACTCACCCGGGGCACTGCCCAGCAGCAGCAGCAGCAGGCAGGCAAGAGGCAGCGCCTGTGTCAGCGGAGCCATGGCGAGTGGCTTCATCGTCCCCTCCAAGCTGTGTCTCGGTGTGGCTCAACTTGGTGGGGCCCTGGGAACCCTTCCTGCCAAAGGGGAAGGAAGCGGTTTGGGTTTTGCCTCTGGCCGAGCTCCTCTGCATTGCCCTGCGCAAGCCCAGAGGCTTCCCACTCCCTCGGTGTTTGTGCCATCGTGAGACTGAGATTGGGTCCAGCACAGACTTCACCATCCTCATCAGAGATGTCTGCCCCGAGGAGGCTGGCACCTATTATAGTGTGAAGTATTGCAAAACAGCCACCGGTGAAGAGTTGTATCGGCGTGGCGAGGGCACGGTGGTGTCAGTGCAGGTGAGTGGGGCTCCCAGTACAGCCCAGCACGACCCCACTGTGACCAGCCCAGCTTGGCCCCAGCCCTGCCTGCGGCCAGACCCACGCTGCCCCGCGCCCACCACCCTCTCCATGCTCCGCCTTGTGTCTTCACAGGGACTTCTCCATTTCCCAGCGTGGAGGTTGCAGCTGCCGTACTCTTCTTCCTCCTCGTCACCTTCATCCTCATCTTCTGCGTGTACCACAAGAAGTGTCAGGGTGAGGGGCAGAGCCAGGGTGCAGCCGGGGCACGATGCTCACCCATCCCCATCCCGTGCTGTGCAGGGAGCCCAGGGACCTCCTTACCCCCAGCAGCAATGTCCGGGCTGCAGAGACCCCGAGGTCACCCCAGCAGGTAGGAGCGAGCTGTGGGTACAGGGCAGGGCCCCCAGCCCCGATGCCCCGACGTGGGCGAGCTGCTGGGCACCTGCGCCTTTGGCCGGGAGCCCCGGGGATGAAGCAGCCCCAGGGCCAGGGCAGGCGCTGGGCAAGCAGCAGCTGCTGGAGGGGGGCTGTGTGTTGTGGGGAGGGGCATCCATGGGGCTGTGGCATGGCCGACACATTATGAAGATGCCGTGAGCGTGCTTTTTCCAAGGATTTGTATTTATGGTGATAACCACGTGTGGAGCAGCGCAACGAGGGGATGGGGACAGTGGGGGGGGACTGGGACCCTCAGTCCAGAGAGCTGCCAAAGGACAGGGCCTTGCTGGGGACCAAGCAGGCAGAGGGGGGAGGCAGCAGGGGTGGTGGTGCAGGACCCCTGAAAGAAGCAGTGGGTCTGCTCGTGCAGCACCACCATCCCGAGCCTGGCACGCTCAGCTCGGAGGTGACGGAGCTCTGACAACGCTCTCCTGCGTCTCTCCCGTCTCGGTGGCCTCGCTGTGCCGCGCTGGCCTCTCTTCAGGCCTGCCAGCGCTTGAAGAGGAAGAAGAGCACGAGGCCGAGGATCGCCTTCTCAAGCGGCATGCAGAGCCACAGGCCGGGGCTGGACAGGAGATGGGCACCTGCAGGAACAGAGGAGTGAGTGCGTGGCGTGGGGAACGCAGCCCCCAGCCCCACAGCCCCCAGCCCCACAGCCCCCGGGTGCCGGTACCTCCCGAGCTGGGTCGGCACCACAGCACCCTGCAGCCTTGCAGCTGGGGTGGGGGCAGAGACGCTCTAAGCAGCAGGGACAGGATTTGGGTTCCCAGCAGCACCCCCCAAGGACACAAAGACCTTGGTCTGTATTCTGGTGGGCCTTTGAGCTCTCCCAGGGGGGTGACATCCCACAGCCTTCCCCTCAGGGCACCCATCGCACAGGCTCTCACTCACCATTTGTGTAGGGGGAGTTGGATTCCTTCTGGCCTGAGGCGGCGACCCACAGCGTGGCATTCCTGCTCAGGAGTTCCTGGCCCTCGTGCAGCACCCGGCAGGTGAACACGGAGCCGTTCTTCTCCGGCACGGCTTGCACTGACACCGTGCTCCTCAGCTCGAACAAGCCCTCGGGGGTCTCAATAGGCCCGGGGGTGCTCCCCGTGTTCATCTCCTTCCCATTCTCCAGCCAGGTGACGGTCACGCTTCCCGGGTAGAAGCCCTGCACGTCGCAGGTGAAGCTCACCGTCTCGTTCAGCCCCACGGGGCCCGGAGGCTCCAGGACCACTTTGGGGGGAACTGGGAAGAGAAGCAGCGGATGGAACTGGAGTCACCTGGCCCCGTGCCCACGGGGGCTCTGTCCCAGCCCCAGGGCCATGAGCACCGGTCCCCACCGAGCCCTCACCTCGCAGGATCTGGCTCAGATGGTAACTCCTCATCAGCGGGGCCGTCAGCGTGGTGTGCCGCACCTGGCAGGTGAGCTCTGAGCGGATGTCGTCCTTCTGCAGCGTCACCGTCACGGTGCTGGACATGTTGTAGGTGAATTTTGATGGCCCAGGGGTAACACTGGGCATCTGAGACTGAATCGGGGTCCTGTCCTTGAACCACTTCACACTGATATCACTGGGGAAGAACCCCCCAGACTTGCAGGTGAAGGATGCCATCTTCCCCGGCTCCACGCGGTCACTGGGCCCGGACACAGTGGGGTTGGAGGGTCTGGCTGTGGGAGAAGCGCGGGTCCATCAGCCGGGCTGTGCCCCCCTGGCCCCTCGACCCTCTCCCTGGGCCGGCTCCTGAGCCCCTGCCCCAGAGCAGAGCCCAGGGGATGGGACGGGGGCTGACCCGGCAGGGCTGGCTCCTGCTGGGAACTGTACTGGGAGCCGCACTCACCCTGCACCACCACCTCCGTGCCATTGCCACGCCGATACAACTCATCACCAGTTGCTATTTTGCGAAACTTCACACAGTAATAGGTGCCGGCTTTTTTGGGCCTCGACGTCCCTGATGAGGATGGTGAAGTCTGTGTTGGACTCATATACTACCCTCTTCCCCCAGGATGAGGGGTCTTTTTGGTCATAAATGGTCTCACTGCCACTGCCCCAGCCCTTCAGCCACTTCACAGGGCCAAGGGGACCCCCTGCAGTCACGGTGCAGCTCAGGGTCACTTTCTCCCCCGCAATCACTGACACCTCCTTCTGGGGCTGTTGCAGCTGAAAGCCCTGACCCGCCTGGGCATCAATACCTGGGGACAGCGAGAGGAGGGTTTGGGGCTGCTGAGGGGCTCCAGAGCCAGGGCACAGCATGGGGCCTCCCCAACCCCCAGCACAAAGGTGGTGGCAGTGACATCCCTGTCCCTTGCCCCCCAGGGCAGACAGCTCTGTGCTGGCTCTGCCCCCGGGCTGCAGTGCGGGATGGAGAAAGCAGGGGGCTGGAGATGCTCGAGTAAAGCAAAAATAAAGCAAAGCTTTGAGCTGGGGATAAAAGCAAGCTGGAAGAGGGCAGGGAAGAGCCGCAGATCCCTGTGGGCAGAGGGAAGGGTTGCTCTGCCAGCAGCAGGGGGGAGCAGGCCCTGGCAAAGGCGCCGGGGCTGTGCAGGGCTGGGCACTCACCCGGGGCACTGCCCAGCAGCAGCAGCAGCAGGCAGGCAAGAGGCAGCGCCTGTGTCACCGCAGCCATGGCGAGTGGCTTCGTCCCCCTCCAAGCTGTGTCTCAGTGTGCCTCAACTTGGTGGGGCCCTGGGAACCCTTTCTGCTAAAGGGGAAGGAAGCGGTTTGGGTTTTGCCTCTGGCTGAGCTCCTCTGCATTGTCCTGCGCAAGCCCAGAGGCTTCCCACTCCCTCGGTGTTTGTGCCATTGTGAGACTGAGATTGGGTCCAACACAGACTTCACCATCCTCGTCAGAGATGTCTGCCCTGAGGATGCCGTCACCTATTGCTGTGTGAAGTTTCGCAAAACAGCCACCAGTGAAGAGTTGTATCGGCGTGGCGAGGGCACGGTGGTGTCAGTGCTGGTGAGTGGGGCTCCCAGTACAGCCCAGCACGACCCCACTGTGACCAGCCCAGCTTGGCCCCAGCCCTGCCTGCGGCCAGACCCACGCTGCCCCGCGCCCACCACCCTCTCCGCGCTCCTCCTTGTGTCTTCACAGGGACTTCTCCATTTCCCTGCGTGGAGGTTGCAGCTGCTGTGCTCTTCTTCCTTGTCTCTTTATTCATCCTGTTATATATGGAGTGGTAATTCCTGTCGAGAAAATGGTTGATATTAATAAAGAAGGGGAAATTTGGGGTTGTGGCCATGGGGGTTAGAAAACCCCATGATTGAGATAACATTAAACTCTTAACGACAAGGACATCAGGAATATAAAAGAGTTTAGAGGGAACAAAGAAGGGTGATTCAGGAGACTCCATGCAGTCTCCAGTTTCTTGTTCTCCAGCCGTTAAGGCATGGATGTTTCTGGGTGTTTGCTGTTGTTGTTATATTCAAAGTTGTTTGACCAATGAAAAGTTGTTTTGAAAAGAACTGCTGTGGAGAGAAGGGTATAAGAGGGGAGCCTGCCCTCAAGATAAAAAAGGCAGCACGATGAAGTTACATCAATAAAGAAGCAGGAAAAAGAAGTGAAGAGGAACACGCTGGCAGAATGGAGACCAGGACGGGAACAGGCACTTTGATTGCCTCATGAAGATAGGTTTGGCCAGACTCAGCAAACTGCTCAGAGCTCATACAGAAAGTCGCTGGGAATAGGTGCACTGGAGCTGGAGAGAAGCTCGAGCTGAGAGAAGCGGACCCAGCACACAACTGCCCCTCACTGGTCAGCAGCTGCGCATTATGGGGAATTGTACGTCCTTAGGAACAAAGACTGTCCTGGTAACCTTACAGCTTATTCTTCTTAGCAGTCGGACAGTTTATGAGCCTGAAATATGGGACCAAACTGAAGTCACGATGTGGGACTCTGCCACTAAAAATGACAAGGTTGCAGTGGGATTGCTCAGCAACTGGCGAGCAGTCTCTAAGGCCTTGAAGAGCCGTGTGGAGCCACAATCACAAACGTGTGGCTTGCCAGACAGTGAGGGAGCTGGAGCTCCTTTACTGATCTGACTGCTACGCCATGGGCCCCTCTGCTGCTACACCCATCGAAGGCTTTTGCTGTTTTGCCCCCTGCTGACCTGGACGTGCCTTTGGACCCAGGCCTCATTGGCCTTCAGAAGGAGATGGATCTGCTTTTCTTTGATCTGGGAAGAACGGGATACATCAGGCCTGAAGAATGGAAAATGGAGACTGTTAAGTTATGGAACTTAAAGGATTGTTTGTTACCTATCCTGATTGTGTGTATGTATAGGCATACTCGGGTTATTATGTAAAGCAATGTTCTGTATGCATGTATTTAGAATGTTTGATGTGTGTGTGTGCGTGTTGGTGGAGCGTAGACTCCCTGCACACCCAGCGCTGTTTACTTACCTTTTATACATTTTAGAAATATTTGTTTTATAAATATTACAAAATTCAGATTGAATTGAGACCTCATTTATAACAATCCTCATCTTCTGCGTGTACCACACGAAGTGTCGGGGTGAGGGGCAGAGCCAGGGTGCAGCCAGGGCACCCGCAGGCAGCTGCTCACCCATCCCCATCCCGTGCTGTGCATGGAGCCCAGGGACCTCCTTGCCCCTAGCAGTGATGTCCGGGCTGCAGAGACCCCGAGGCCGCCCCAGCAGGTAGGAGTGAGCTGTGGGTACAGGGCAGGGCCCCCAGCCCCGATGCCCCGACGTGGGCGAGCTGCTGGGCACCTGCGCCTTTGGCCGGGAGCCCCGGGGATGAAGCAGCCCCAGGGCCAGGGCAGGCGCTGGGCGAGCAGCAGCTGCTGCAGGGGGCATGGCCGACACATTATGAAGATGCCGCGAGCGTGCTTTTTCCAAGGATTTGTATTTATCGTGATAACCACGTGTGGAGCAGCGCAACGAGGGGATGGGGACAGTGGGGGGGGACTGGGACCCTCAGTCCAGAGAGCTGCCAAAGGACAGGGCCTTGCCGGGGACCAAGCAGGCAGAGGGGGGAGGCAGCAGGGGAGGTGGTGCAGGACCCCTGAAAGAAGCAGCAGGTCTGCTCGTGCAGCACCACCATCCCAAGCCTGGCACGCTTGGCTCGGAGGTGATGGAGCTCTGACAACGCTCTCCTGCGTCTCTCCTGTCTCGGTGGCCTCGCTGTGCCGCGCTGGCCTCTCTTCAGGCCTGCCAGCGCTTGAAGAGGAAGAAGAGCACGAGGCCGAGGATCGCCTTGTCAAGCAGCATGCAGAGCCACAGGCCGGGGCTGGACAGGAGATGGGCACCTGCAGGAGCAGAGGAGTGAGCGCGGGGTGTGGGGAACGCAGCCCCCAGCCCCACAGCCCCCGGGTGCCGGTACCTCCTGAGCTGCGTCCCTGCTGGCCTGAGGCGGCGACCCACAGCGTGGCGCTGCTGCTGAGGGGGTCCTGGCCCTCGTGCAGCACCCGGCAGGTGAACACGGAGCCATTCTTCTCCTGCAAGGTTTGCACCAACACCGTGCTCCTCAGCTCGAACAAGCCCTCGGGGGTCTTTGTTGGCCGGAGGCTGCTCCCCGTGTTCATCTCCTTCCCATTCTCCAGCCAGGTGACGGTCACGTTTCCCGGGTAGAAGCCCTGCACGTCGCAGGTGAAGCTCACTGTCTCGTTCAGCCCCACGAGACCTGGAGGCTCCATGACCACTTTGGGGGGAACTGGGAAGAGAAGCAGTGGCTGGAGACCGCGTCCCCCGGCCCCGTGCCCGCAGGGGCCCTGTCCCAGCCCCGGGGCCGTGAGCACCGGTCCCCACCGAGCCCTCACCTCGCAGGATCTGGCTCAGATGGTAACTCCTCGTCAGCGGGGCTGTCAGCGTGGTGTGCAGCACCTGGCAGGTGAGCTCTGAGCGGATGTCGTCCTTCTGCAGCGTCACCATCAAGGTGCTGGACAGCCTGTAGGTGAAGTTCGATGGCCCAGGGGTGACGTGGGTTGGCTGAGGCTGAATCAGGGTCTTGTCCTTGAACCACTTCACACTGATGTCACTGGGGAAGAACCCCCAGGAGTTGCAGGTGAAGGATGCCACATTCCCAGGCTCCATGCGGTAACTGGGCCCGGACACAGTGGGGTTGGAGGGTCTGGCTGTGGGAGAAGCGCGGGTCCATCAGCCGGGCTGTGCCCCCCTGGTCCCGGGACCCTCTCCCTGGGCCGGCTCCTGAGCCCCTGCCCCAGAGCAGAGCCCAGGGGGCTGACCCGGCAGGGCTGGCTGCTGCTGGGAGCTGTACTGGGAGCCCCACTCACCCTGCACCAACACCACCGTGCCATCGCCTCGCCGATACAACTCATCACCGGTGGGTACTTTGCGAAACTTCACACAGTAATAGGTGCCGGTGTCCTCGGGGCGGACGTCCCTGATGAGGATGGTGAAGTCTGTGCTGGACACTACCACTGCCCTCGTCCCCCGGGATGAGAGGTATTTTTGGTCATAAATGGTCTCACTGCCACTGCCCCAGCCCTTCAGCCACTTCACGGGGCCAAGGGGACCCCCTCCAGTCACGGTGCAGCTCAGGGTCAGCGTCTCCCCCACTCTCACAAACACCTCCTTCTGGGGCTGGTGCAGCTCAAAGCCAGAACCCATCTGGGCATCCGCACCTGGGGACAGCGAGAGGAGGGTTTGGGGCTGCTGAGGGGCCCTGGAGCCAGGGCACAGCATGGGGCCTCCCCAGACCCACAGCACAAAGCTGGGGGCAGTGACATCCCTGTCCCTTGCCCCCCAGGGCAGACGGCTCTGTGCTGGCTCTGCCCCCGGGCTGCAGTGCGGGAAGGAGAAAGCAGGGGGCTGGAGATGCTCGAGTAAAGCAAAAATAAAGCAAACCTCTGAGCAGGGGATAAAAGCAAGCTGGAAGAGGGCAGGGAAGAGCCGCAGATCCCTGTGGGCAGAGGGAAGGGTTGCTCTGCCAGCAGCAGGGGGGAGCAGGCCCTGGCAAAGGCGCCGGGGCTGTGCAGGGCTGGGCACTCACCCGGGGCACTGCCCAGCAGCAGCAGCAGCAGGCAGGCAAGAGGCAGCGCCTGTGTCACCGGAGCCATGGCGAGTGGCTTCGTCCCCCTCCAAGCTGTGTCTCGGTGTGGCTCAAGTTGGTGGGGCCCTGGGAACCCTTCCTGGCAAAGGGGAAGGAAACGGTTTGGGTTTTGCCTCTCTCCGTACTCCTCTGCGTTGCCCTGCGCAAGCCCAGAGCTTCCCACTCCCTCGGTGTTTGTGCCATCGTGAGGTTGTTCCTCACCAGCCATGGCAGCCCACAGATGGGCGGCACTGCCACGACCACCGGCACGGGGCAGCAGGAGCGAGGGGCCCGAATCCGCACCCACCCTGTGTTTCCTCGGAGCCTCCCTGCAGCCGGGGCTGTCCTGCTGAAACCAGGGGCACCCCGTGCCCACCGCAGCCCCTCCGTGCCATGGCTCTGCGCAGGCATCGGGGTGAGCGCATGGGGGCTGCCAGCCGGGACGCATTTTAGGGGTTAAGTCCCGCTGTGCTCCTGCCCGGCTCAGCCTCCCACTGCCTGCCCTGTCCGTCCGGCAGAGGGGCAGGCAGCAGAAGCGTTAACAGCACGCGCCCGTGTCCATTTCCTGTGCAGCTTCTCGTTTTCCTTCTGCAGTTGGAGCCCAGATTTTCGGCAGCGCCGATGGCTGCGCTCCGCACCGCGCTGCTGCTGGCTCGGCTCCTGCTGGGGCAGCTCATCCTCGTCCCGGCGTGGCTCTCGGGTGAGTATGGGGCAGCGGCACGGCAGGGGCCATGGATGGGTGTCCTGCTTCCCAGCCCCGCTGCCTGGTTGCTGCCTATCGGGGGGCCGGGGTGGGCGACTTGGCCACCACCGCAAACCGCTGCCACGTGCACGGCTGCAGAAACCTTCCCCGTGCGGGGGTTTTCCTCCTCCGACCACCTCCGGGCTGGTGTGGGGCTGTCCGGGGCACGGTTGTCTCCTGACGTGCCCGCCGCCTGCTCGGGAGCCCCTTGGCCACTTCCCCCAGCACCGGGACGTGGCGCTGGGCCCCGGGGATGTGCCCGACGGTGAGGGGTGTGCGAGGTGCTGGGTGCTGCGCTTTGCTGCCCTGGGGGGAGCTCGTGTGGAAAGGCAGCCGGGGGCTTTGGGCAGGAGGGACCCCGGGGCAGGATTCGGGCTCCTGTTGCACAAGTTTCGCAGCACTGGAGAGGTTTTCCTGCCTGGAATTCCCCCGTCTCCCTCTGGCGCCTCGCGTCAGTGTCAGAGTGGGAAGGGATCTCTCCCATTGCCCGTTTTGAAGTTGGCTTCCACCGCTCCCGTTTAGTGCTGCTTTCTCCCCCACACCCTGCACTATTTCTGGGCTAAAGTGCTGAGCAAGCTGTGGGTGCTGTGCCTGTGCCGGGCAGGGGGATCAGAGCAAGCTCTCGCCTCCTTCGGGAGCTCAGCCCCTGCTGTGCTGTCACTGTCCCCAGGTGCAGATGCCCAGGCGGGTCAGGGCTTCAAGGTGCACCAGCCCCAGAAGGAGGTGTCGGTGAGAGTGGGGGAGACGTTGACCCTGATCTGCACCGTGACTGGAGGGGGTCCCCTTGGCCCTGTGAAGTGGCTGAAGGGCTGGGGCAGTGGCAGTGAGACCATTTATGACCAAAAAGAACACTCCTCATTCCGTGGGACGAGGGCAGTGAATGAGTCCAACACAGACTTCACCATCCTCATCAGGGACGTCCGCCCCGAGGACACCGGCACCTATTACTGTGTGAAGTTTCGCAAAATAACCGCCAGCGATGATGAGTTGCATCAGCGTGGCGATGGCACGGTGGTGTCAGTGCTCGGTGAGTGGGGCTCCCAGTACAGCCCAACACGACCCCACTGTGACCACCCCAGCTTGGCCCCAGCCCTGCCTGCGGCCAGACCCACGCTGCCCCGCGCCCACCACCCTCTCCGCGCTCCGCCTTGTGTCTTCACAGGGACTTCTCCATTTCCCAGCGTGGAGGTTGCAACTGCCGTGCTCTTCTTCCTCCTCCTTATCTTCATCCTCATCTTCTGCGTGTACCACAAGAAGTGTCGGGGTGAGGGGCAGAGCCAGGGTGCAGCCGGGGCACCCGCAGGTGGCTGCTCACCCATCCCCGTCCTGTCCTGTGCAGGGAGCCCGGGGACCCCCAGGTTGGTACCCCCACCTCCTTACTCTGCACGCTGAAGGCAAGCAAACAACCTTACACCTCTGGCTCCTGCTTTCTGCTCCCCCCAGAGCACTGATTTGACCCAGAAAGATCTTTATTCATTCAGTGGTGCCTCGCTGCGCTGCACTGCATCCCTTGTGTCCGTGGCCGGCTGATGTTTTGTGCCCCAGTCCCTGCAGGGCCTGAGGCCAGCCCGGGCACTGGGAGCATGCCGGCCCTCTCCTACACGTCCAGTATGGGCACTGTGCAGCTGTGTGCTGGAAATTCGGGGTGAAATTCGGGAGAGAAATCGTGCCCTTCTGTACAGTCCGCGCGTGCTGTGTGCCATGGGCGCGGTGGGGAGGGCGGCTGGCTGGCCCTGGCTCTAACATCCTCCTTTCTCCCAGCAGCAATGTCCGGGATGCAGAGACCCCGAGGCCACCCCAGCAGGTAGGAGCGAGCTGTGGGTACAGGGCAGGGCCCCCAGCCCCGATGCCCCGACGTGGGCGAGCTGCTGGGCACCTGCGCCTTTGGCCGGGAGCCTTGGGGATGATGCAGCCCTGGGGCCAGGGCAGGCGCTCGGTGAGCAGCAGCTGCTGCAGGGGGGCTGCTCCTCGTGGTGAGGGGCATCTGTGGGGCTGTGGCATGGCTGACCCAATATTAAGGTGCTGTGAGGGTGCTTTTTCCAAGGTTCCCTACTGATGCCTTTAACCGTTTGCACAGCAGAGCAGCGAGCAGAAGGACATCCACTACGCCGACCTGCAGCCCCTGCGCGAGGCGCCACAGCGCAGCCAGAGCCCTGGCACCGACCGCTCCGAGTACGCCAGCATCAGGGCAGCTGCCAAGTGACGCACGGCCCCGCCACGGCCCCGCCGGGGGCTGAGGAGCCAGCGCCAGGGGAGGAAACCGAGAGGTCCCTGAAGGGCACCAGAAAGAAGAAGTGTATCTGTCTGCACAGCACAGCCGGCCCAAGATCGGCATCTGAACCTCAAAGCTCTCCTAATTCATTCCCATCTCGGTGGCTGTGCCATGCAGGGGGAGGCTCGGTGCCCGAGCTGCCCTGCCCGGGCTTGCAGCAGCCACCCCGGGAGCCAGCAGCCACCTCGAGTGCGGGATCGGGGCCCCGTGCTGGGCAGCTGTGCCTTGTGCGAGCCATGTGGTGCCGATGGCTCCGCGAGGACTTCGTGCACACCAAACTCTGCCAGAACAGGCCACTGGAACTTGCCCTGCTCGGTGGATCCATGATTTGTGTAGTGCCTGAGCCCGTCCTCATTAAAGCCTGCTAGCAGCCGTGCTGCCCAGTCCTGCCGTGTGAGAGTGAGAGCGATGCGCCTGGCCTGCGGGGTCCGGGGAGATGTGGGGTTCCCGCAGCCCTGTGCCCACTCACTGCTGTCAGCTTTGTGCCGAGCTGCCACCACCCCGAGCTCTCCTTGGGGCAGCTCCCAAGCCCAGCAGGGTCGGGACAAAACGGAGCAGGCTGGGGGTGAAGAGCAGGACCCCAGCTCTGCTCCAACCTGCGCCCCAAGTGCCCGGCTGCTGGGCGAGGGGCAGGCTGGACACCCCGACCCCACAACCCCAGCGCTTGTGATGCTGATTCCTCAACCCACTCCTTCCCTATTCTTAGCCATTTTTAACCTCCTTCTTCTGACCACGCGCCAGGAGAAGGAGGACGGGGTGAAGCGAGGCAGGAAGCCGCGTGGCGAGCACTCCATGGTGCAGCTGCAGCAGCCGGGGGTGTGCCTTGGCATGGATCCCCCAGGCTCAGGCACCCCGCCTCAAACACTGGGGTTAGGGGCTCAACACACTCCTCCCACAGAGAAATCATCACTGCTGCCTCTCCGGCCCTGAGATCTGTTCGCAGTTGCCAGCTTCCAACTCCCTTTATCTGTTGTTCTCTGTGAAATTAAAAAAAAAAAAAAGGAGAACCGAAAGAGGACAGCGCAACGTGTCTGCGAGCCTGGGTGCACGGGGGAGCCTTATCGGCACAGAGCTCCTGTCAAGGGGCAAGTTGTGGTGGGGGGAGAGAAGCCACTTGTGAAATGAATTTGCATGGCTGAAGCAACATCCCGTGCACCAGGGGACATGCTTTGGGGGACAGTTTGAGGACGTTTCTTTCAGGAGCACTGCTGGAGGCACTCAGCACCCAGCACCGAGCGCCCAGGGCACGGTTTGGGGGGATTTTACCAGGCAGGGGGCTGCCACCAGCACAGCCCCCTCTGCCCAAGCCCCCGGGGGACTCGGGGCCGTGGCACCGGGTGAGTGGGGAGCCAGGGCTGGGAGAGCTGCCTGGTCCCCTGCTCGGGGAGAACCCGCAGCCTCTGCGCGGGGACGGTGCTGAGAGTCCCGAAAACGATCGCGAGCAGGAGTATGTAAAACGTGTGGGTGAGACTGAAACCGGGGAGAGACCTCGCAGACAAGGGGAAATGAAATCTGAGGGCACGCAGGGCTTTTGAAGCACTGGGCTGGGCCGGGAGGGGGGGGAAATCCAGTTTGACTCGAGCATATGTGAGGCGGCGAGGAGCACGGCGCCGCGGAGAGCCGTGCACCTAGGAAAGGCCCAGGTCTGCGGCTTACAGCCCAGGAGAAGGATTTGGTGGTTATTATAGGAAAATCCTTTAAGCCAGCAGCCTGGGGTGTGCCGGCAGTGAAAGCACAAACAAGCACCCGACCGTGGCACCAAGGTAGGACCGCGCTGGGCAGCGCCTCAGGGGGCGGCAGCGGGGGGTCCGGCGCTTTCGGCGGTGACACGGGGAGGGGGACACGAGGGACTTGTTGCTCATCCTTCCTCCGTTTGGTTCGTGGTGCCGCCGGGTGTCACGTCCTGCTGGGTCACACGCTGGGCGCTGGGGTGAGAAACGCAGGTGCTGGAGCCGGCCCCGAGAGCTGCCGGGGGCTGACGCAGCTCGGAGGGTGCAGGCGGTGCCGGAGGGGGGGGATGAGAGGAGGCAGAGCAGAAACGCTGGCTGGGTGCAGGGGGGGGAGCAGCTCCCCCAGCCCCAGCTCGGGGTTGTGCTGTGTTGGGGTGAGGGTACGGGGGGGGACGGGGGGCCTGGTCATGGCCCCACCACGTGTGTGCGCTTCAGCTGAGGTTGGGGAGCACGGGAGCGCAGCGCGGGGCTGTCTGCGGGGAGGTAAAGCCCAGCAGAGGGGCTGAGGAGAGGCTGAGTCATGGGGAGGGGTCTGCAGAGCCCCCCGCTCGGAGGAGAAGCAGAAAGCAGCAGTCAGAGAAGGGCCAAGGGGTGCTCAGGGGCTGCCCCAGCATCTGCTCCGCGCCTGTGCCGAAACCAGCAGGGAGCACGGGCCTCGGGCAGCAAGCGTGCAAAGACAGCGAGTGGGCTGGGGGAGAGCTGATGGACGAGGATAGTCCAGCACCCAAAGCCACAGGGTGCCCCGCCATCGGGTCCCAGAGGTGTTTTGGGGTCCCAGTGCTGTTCTGGGGACCCTGCGGTGCCACAGGGACCCTGCGGTGCCACGGGGACCCTGCGGTGCTCTGGGATTGCTGTGCCAGGACACCGATGGGGAGCAGCACCAGGAGCTGGAGGAATGCCTGGGGTACCCTGAGGGAAAAGGAAAGGGCACCAAGATCTCAGGGACATTTCAAAGGGCCCCAGGAAAAACCACGCGGGTCTCGTTTGTGCCTGCTGCCTCTCCGGGGCCATGCTGCTGCCGGGAGAAGCACGGGGATGCTGCATGGCCAGCACCCTGCACACACCGATGTCCACGGGACATTTTGGGGTGCCAACACTTACTGGGGAGCAGGAGCTGGCTGCCCACCAGGACGCATTCAGCCTTGGCTCCTTTTTGGGGCCAGGCTGGAAAGAAGAGGCAGGTGGGAGCGACGCTGGGAGCAGGGCTGGGATCCAGCCCGGGGCTCAGCGCCGACGATGCCGAGCGCAGGCTGCCCAGGCGTGCCTTCGTGTGACGCCGCTGCCTGTCCCCACGCACCCGCCGGGCTCCGTTCCTGCCGTCTCAGGGGGCAGAGCAACTCGAAACCCCGCCAGCTCGCCATTTATCAGGGCAGCATTTTAATTGGAAAGCGAGGGCTGGAGCAGGAGGAAAGCGGTGACACGCTTTGTGCTGTTCCTGATTTATTTCGCGTCTTACTTATTGAATCTTATTCCCCAGTTTCATGGTTATTGTGGATTTTTATTAAAGGGGATAAACAGGGCTGGGATTTGGGGTTGTCATAGGAACCGCTTCCGTGCCGCAGCCTCGGTGCCAGCTCCATCCTTCCCCCCAATTTCCTGAGACAGGGGGGGGCTCAGCTCTCTCCAGGCACACCAGATATTTTTCCAGCCCCTAAGCTCAGCCTCATCCATGGGGACATCAGCGGGACCCCAGGGCTGCGAGCTGAGCAGAAGCGTCCCGTGGATGCTGCTCATCCTTGTGGATTCTCCGGTGTCTGATAGGAGGCTGTGCCATCGCAGCTATCGCTGCTGGGCAACCTCCCTGCCCTACCTGCTCGCAGTTTTGTGACACCCCTGGGGACAGCACGGGGCAGGCTGGGTTCTGCCCTTCTGGCCGTTCTCCGTCTTTCCTGCCACGGGCACGAGGGGACAGAGAGTGAAAACGAAAGCTGTCAAACCCATTTAAATCCAGCGATGGAAGGAAATCCTTCACACCCAGCGCTCGTTTAGCCCGCTGCTGCTTCGCCGTAGGATGTCGGTGAGGCCACGAAGTTGGCAAGGATTACGGAGGGATTTCCAGGGCCGTGGGACGAACAGGAACATCCAGTGCCGAGGGAAAACTCGCTTTGTGCTCTCGGCATCTGACGGGCCGCTGCTCAGGGACCGCTGCCAGCCGGAGCCGGCACGGGGAGCGCAGCCCCTGCATGGGGCTGGCGCCCACGGGGGTGGCAGGGTGGGCAGGGGGTGTCCTGCAGCTCCGGTGGTGCCCCTCGTGTCAGATCAGCTGAAGGTGGCACAATGCTGTGGTCCTTGTCCCCCCCCCAGCACCCCCACGTGCGTCGTGCCCCAAAGGAGCCGCGCACAGGGGCTCGGCTCAGCTCAGCCTCCCGGGGATGCTCTGGTGGGGCTGCAGCACCGTGAGCAGGATTTACGCAGGGAAAAGAGCCCAGGGCTGCTGCTCGGACTGGGGAGATGTTTTTGGGTCACCCACAGCGAGGGCAGGGTGAGGGGGGGACTCCAGAACCCAGCTCCTCCTGGCACAGAGCGACCTTAAAGCTCGGCCGCGCTTGGCCACGGCCTGCGGTGCTGGCAGCGCCCCGAGCCCAGCACAAGTGCCCCTCTCAGGAGAAGTGCAAGGGGAAGAAAAAAAAATATTTAGAGAGGCAGGAGAGCTGCGGGAGGCAGCCAAGGCACAGGCTGAAAGCGTTTTCTCAGTGGCAGCGGCCACCCTGGCCAGGATGCTCTTGGCTGTGGATGTGCCCGGGGGTGCTGCCAGCCCCCAGGGGCTGTGCCGGCGCCGGCAGCTCCCGGCACGGTGCCGGTGGATGAGCTCGGTGGCGCCTGGACCTAGGGATGCAGCAAGAGCATCGTGGGGAGGATGCGGCCCCAAAGGGCCCTGGGTGGGGAGCGTGGCCCTGCTGGGGCTGGGAAAGCAAGGCGCCCTGTAAAATAATTGCTCCTGACAGATCCGTTTCTTCGGCGAGGCTCGGGCTTAATTTTATCATGGTATCCGTAACCATGGCGACGTGTAAAAATAACGGCTCCCCGAGCAAGGCGAATTCCCCATAAACATCGCCCGTTTCCAGGAGCCACGGGAGCGTGGATGGGGGACTCCCGGCCCTGGGGTCAGCACAACATCACCCAAAATCCACCACCACCATCGCCGTGCCCCCATGGGTGGCAGCACCCCGAGGCCCACCGGTGCTCGCGCCCTCTCCGGCCTCCCCGGCTGCTGGGACGGGTTCAGTGTTTGGGTGAGGGATTCACTCGCTGACTAATTAGCGGTGTTAACTGCTTACGCCTCTCGATGATGATTTCATTTGCTAATCCTTCGGGCTACCCGGGGCTCGCAGCGGCTAATTGGGTGGATGTCATTAACGCTCGCGGTCAGGAGCGGCTGCTGAAGGGCTGCGCTGCGATGAGCACCGGAGCGCTTCGTGGTGCTGCACACAAGTGGATTTCGCTCCCCGGGACTGAGCTCAGAGCCCCGGTGATGTCCCTCTTGTCCCCACAGAGGGGAGAGGACCCCAAGGTGCTGAGCAGGGCATGCAAGGCCCGGATCCTGCATCGCCACCAAAAGACACCCCCTGGTGCCTCTCTCCAGCCGTGCCGTGCGCCTCGGTGCTGAGCTCTGGGCAGGACGGTGGTGCTGTGCTGTGCAGCTCCCGCCTCGGACCCCCAGGACCACCGCAGCCACCAGGAGAGTGGAACACATCGCAGAGCTGGAATTGATCCTGGTGCGCTTTTGGTTGCCCTTTGGCTCTGGGGAAAGAAAAACAACAAAAAAAAAAGACCAAACAAACCAAAGCCTTGCAGCAGCATTTTCCTCACGCTCCCGGCAGCAGCAGGGACGTGCCTGGTGTCTCTAGGGCCAAAGCAAACAGCCCCGAGCTGCAAGGCCACTGTGGGGACATCGACCGCGGGGACGGTGAGCGCAGGGACAGCGGTGCCAGGGCTGATGGCAGTGCTGGTGGTGCCAGGGGGGGGGGGCACAGCGGGTCTCCAGCCCCTCACCAGCTCCCCATCGTGGCCGGAGCTGCCCCCTAAACCTCCACCAGCACAAATCCACCACCAAGCCCAGCTCCGAGTCCTGCAGCAGTCCCGGCACCTCCAGTGAGGGCTCTGCCGAGCAGGAAGCGATGGGCTGAGATAGCCCAAGGTGATCAATCCCCCAGCGTTCGCAGTTTTTTTTTTCCTCTGAGGGATTTTGCCAGGCAGCCCAGCCAGCAAGGAGTTACAGCAGCCGTGCCTGGGAGCGCGCTGAGCGTTATCTGCCGCTGCAGCCTCGGATGCGCTCTCACGATAACAATTTGCAATCAACAAAGAACTTTGAGAGGATACAGAAACAAAAAAGGCAGAAGAAAATCAAGATAATATTGCTCCTCCCTCGGCCGCATCCTCACCCTGTGGCGGATATTGTGCCACCAAGGGGGGACCAAGGTCTTCTCCAGCATCTCTCCAAGTGGCAGTGGGCTCAGGGACCCCCAATATCCCCATGGGCACCCCGTCTGCACCCCATCCACCCACCCACAGCACCCAGGAGCCTTCGGCCTCACAGCCTGACCTTTTGGCATCCCCAGGGGGTCTCAAGACCATCCCTGGATGCAGACACCCCCAACATCTTTCCATACCCCCCTGAGCCTTGCAGCCGAGGGGTGCAGGATTGGGGCCCCCCTGTGCCCTCCCTGCGAGCTGCCCTGGCTTTATGGGATGCAGGCAGGGCTCTGTGGGATCGCAGCACCCCCAGCCAGCGAGCAAAACTTCCTCCGGAGCAAGGGGCAGGATCCTGCCCGCAATGACCGAGGGCTCCCGGCAGCCGGCCAGGCAGCGAGTGTTTTTCCCACCGTGTCAGCATTTCCACCCCGAAACCCTGCGTCCCTCTGTCCAGCTCCCGGCCCTATCGCCTGCAGGTCCGGCCGGGGGGGGGCAAGCTGCCAGGCCAGGCACAGGATATAAAACCACCTTTCCTGCCGTGACACAGCCTGGCAGGAATTCCCCGTAGGAACCGTGCCTGGGCTGCGTTAAGGACGCTCGGTGGAATTACCCGGCTCCGGCACCCACTGGGTGCTGCTCAGCATCCCGTGGGGGCTGCATTGCCTGGGACTGGGTGAGCCCCAGCACGGCACTGGGACACGGGAGCCCTGCTCCCCCTGCTCGCAGCCAGCAGTGGGGGTGATCCATCATTTCTCCGCATGGGGTGAAGGCGAATAAACCCCACAAATGCTCTCAGAGCATCGCTCCCAGCACCGGCATCCCTCCCTCCTTCCCTCTTTCTCCCGGCGCAGAGAGCAGCAGGAATCAATCAGAGCTAAACTGGTCCATAAACGGCATTTTATGGGTTTCAAGGGCACCCCCTGGTCCTGGCAGAGCGCTCAAGCTGCACTATAATTAAGTGGGTTCTCATCTAAGTGATGAGAAACGTGCCCCGGCCCCGCTGGGCTGCGAGAGCGCTCAGCCCCAGCACCACCACGGCCCCTCGGCGCAGGGAGCTCGGGCTGTGAGGTCCCAGCTGAGCCCTAAATCACACCCTAAAAGTTTAACCAAAGCAGGAGCAGCTCCTGCAAGGCCCCTGAGATGATTTTTGGGCACAGTCAGGCTCTTGGCACTGGGAGGAAGCCGCCCCTGGACTCCACAGCTGTTCCCGGGGTCCTAACGAGGCACCTGCAGCTAATTGCCCCCGGGATAAGGGGGTGCCTGGGGGGCTCTCCCCTCCTTTTTGCAGCAGTGTGGTGCTGGTGCTGGATGCTGCAGCAGGAGCAGGCAGGTACGATGCTCCCTTCATCCCTTATATGATGTTTGTGGGGTTGGGGTGCTTCCCCCACCACTTCTGCTGCCTTTGTCCCTTCCCCGTGGTCCAGCTCGGTGGGGTCTGTGTCCGTGGTGCCCCGTGAAGCTGGCTGCAGGTCGCTTCTTTCCACCCCTGTGTTGGCATATTGCTCGTTAGAAGTTAACATCGGCTAAACTAATTTAAGCTCTTTCTGTACTGGATGTCTTGGGCTAAGTTGGCAGGGTACCTAATGAAGCTGAAGCTCCATTTGTTGTGCTGGAAAGCCCTAAATATCAGCGGTGTAATTGGAGCTACCTACTTTAGAAGCCATTTGGGTGTTTTTTCTTCCAAGCTGGAAGCCCGGGGAGGGTGCTGGATCCGAGGCTCGGGGGGTCTGCAGGACGTGCACCCTGCCTGGTGGGCTGGAAGGGGCTCGATTTTGGGTGCTGGAGCTGGAGGACAGCGGTGCTGAGCGTGCTGCGGGGTGGCTGAGCTCCTCGTTTTGCTGCAGGAGCACGAGGCGGTGCCGTGGCATGGTCGGGTCATTGTAGGGCTGGGATGTGATGGAGCAGGGGGGGTCCCTACAACCCCCAGCACCTTGCTGGAGGGAGATGTGTGTGTATTGGTGGCTGTCACCTGCCTGGGGACAGTTCTGAGCCCACACCCTGCTGCTGGGTGTTTGCTCAAGGTGTTTTCTAATGGTCTGCTGCCACCTCCACCGTCAGGCTTGCTACCAAGCCCGTGTTTGGCACACATTTGGGAACTGAAACCTCTCCCACCCCGGTCACCTTGGAATTCCCCTCCAGCCAGGCGAGCTGCTGCCGTGCAGACAGAGCAGAGGGGATCAGACAGGCTGATGGGGGGAATAAAAGAGCCTGGGCAAAACCAGCGCTGCAAAACCTTTGTCTGGGACTGCCCCGTTTGGGTGCTGCCGGGCTCTGATTCACCATCTGCCCCAAACCCTCCCCGCCAGGCGCTGCCGCCCAGCTGTGGCTCACCTCAACCCACGCAGCCCTTTGAGGAAGCCACCCGCTGCCTCGAAGCCCCAGAAGAGCACCGATCCCCCCCAAAAAAGCCCTGCTCAAACCCTTCCCCAGCTCTCCACCCAGCTCCAGGGTGGGATGCTGGAGCAGTGGCTTTGCCTGGAGGCGCACGGGCGCTGGCGTGGGTGCTGGAGCAGACGGAGCTGTGCGTGATGGTGCCGTGCATCCGACACATCCTGCTCCTGCTCCTCTCCCCTCGCTGCAGGACGGGGGCTGCCCACCCGGGGTGGCTCCTTCCAGGCCCCCCAGCAGCGAGCGGAGGGGCCGTGGGCAGGAGGCGAGGGGGTGGGGGGGGGCAGCGCAGCCTGCCCATATGCTCCCTGATGGGGAGCACTAGCAGCTCTTCCCGGGAAGCTCGCGCTGCGCCATCTGCTCTGCCTCGGTGCCTTCTTCTCGCGGAGCTTTTTTTAAGCCCCAACTTCTCCTTCCCCGGCGCTCCGTGGTGGCGGCTGCCTGCGCGCGGGCTGTCTGCGCTCTGCCATCGCCTCCCAACAGGTTGTCTGAACCCTCGGCGCCGGGCTGAAACCCAGCAGGCCTCCAAGAGCTCTATTTAAAAATAACCTGGAAAGCACTGAAGGGCTGCGGGGCATCCAGGACAGCACCTTCTCTCTGGGTTCCTGCTCCCAGAGGTGGTTTGGGAGGGATGCGCGGTGCTGCAGGGTTTCCACAAACCGCAGCTAATCCCGTGTCCTCTCCCCGTGCAAAGCCATTATTTATCCCCCCCCACGCCTCGCTGCCTGTGCAGCAAGCCAAAGGCCAAACCAAATGGTTCCTCCGGGCCCATGCTGCTCGCTCACGTGCTCGCCAGATGTGGGAAGGGGAAATAAAAGCAGCAGCTGCCCTGGGCTCCTGGGGACGGCAGTGGCCACGTGTTATCTCTCTCCTGGGCTCCCTGGGAATTGCAGTGGCCAGAGCAAAGGAGCGCAACCCCCAGCTGCTCCGGGGAGGTCCCTGGGGTCTGTCCTGGCTCCTAACTGAGTTAAATCAGGGCTGGATGCAACATGTGGGTGTAGCTGCACCCGGCAGGGCTGATGGGGAAGCTTGTAGGGACGGGGACGAGAACGCGCCTGGGCTGAGACGTGCGCAGATTGACGGTGCCAAGTCACTTCAGCTATCTTTGCTGTTTGTTTATGGGAAGCTCTAAATAAAGCCGACAGCCCCAGCGGCTGCCGGGGAAGGAGGCAGGAGCTGCTGGTGCCTGTAGTGGTCCTGGCACGGCCCCGGCTGCTGCCCTTGGGTCGAGCTTGGGGTGGGAGAGCCCTCGGCTGTGATGGGTGCTGCGGTGTGGGTGGGTGCTGCTGCTCAGCTCCTGCCTGCAGAGCTCGTACCTGTCCCGGGGGGGCTGAATTATCTTCAGGACCTGCTGCGGCTCCTGCTTGGAGCTGCCAGTGTCGTGTGTGGCTGCCCAAGGTGCTGAGGACCGAGCTGGTCCCCGGGTCCCCGGCCTTGCCGAAGCACCCACGGGTGCTGGGAGAAGCTGCGGCAGGAGCAGGCTGTGGAGGACGTGTCCTTGTGCCTCCCCTGGGAGGGACTTTGTGCTGGTTGAAGCAGGGAGCTGCAGGGACGCGCATCCTGGGGATGCTCACGTCCAGGCGCCCTCTTCCTTTGCTCCCTCCCTCGTCTCCATTTCCCATCGCTGCTGCTCCATCCTCAGGCTCCGTCCCCTCCCAGCAGCTGGGCTCATCCTGCTCACCCCATTTCCCCGCTGGGGGGTCCTGGGGGGGCTGTCCCGCTGTTCCTAGGAGCCCTGCAGGGCTGGCTGCAGGCATCTCCAGGAGGGTCCCCATCCTGACCCCAATGCGTCCGACCTCCGCGTGGCACCTCCAGGACCCCCACTCGTGCACCTGCAGCGGGTCCTGTGCAGCCCCTTGGGAAGCCCCCAGACCCCTCGTGCAGCCCCCAGGGGCTTTTCCCCCTCAATTCTACCCTGGGCTGCGTGTTGAGGGTGGGGGGGCTCCAGCCACCGACCCCCGGTCCTGGATGAGCGCCTCTGGTTCCTCCCGTGCGCCTTGGCCAGGGGGGCTCCGGGGGGGGGGTCGGATCCTTCCGTAGCCCACCTTAAGAGGGCGGCGTGCACCCAGGCTGCCCCCTGCAACTTCTCCGGGAGCCAGGCGGGGCCGGGCAGCTCGGAGCCCCCCCCTCCCCAATCCTCCACCACCGGGGCCGGCCCCAGTCCCGGTGCCAAGCAACGGAGGCGGCGCCGCGGCGGGGCAGGGGCGGAACGGGCTCGGCACGGCTCGGAGCGGCTCGGCACGGAACGGAACGGCCCGGGGGGGGTGGGGGGGGCTCGGCCAGGTCGGTGTCCGTGGCTGGGGGGGGGTTTGGATACCGGGAAGGGGGGGTACAGGGGTCGTGGAGGGGGGTGGGTGCTGCGTGGGCGCAAGCCGGCCGTGCGCCTGCAGCGGAGCGGGGAGGGAAGGGGGGGGGGGGGGGGCGCACGGCCATCCTTCCTCATTTTGGGGCTGCGAAGTGCAATTTCCTTCTCCATCTGCGATTCTGCATTTTAAAGGGGGAAGGAGAGAAAAAAAAAAAAGGAAGAAAAAAAAAAAAGACAACGAATAAAAACCAAAACCAATCAACGAAAGCCAAGCCCCGGGGGTGCGCGCTCTGAAACCTTCTCGTGTCTGTTCCCCCCCCCTCCCAGGAAGAGCCCGGCCATGGAGCTCCTGCCCCGCCGCCCTGCCTGGCCGCTGACCTGCCTGGTGCTGCTCAGCCTGCGCCCCTGGCCAGGTAAGGTGCTGGGCCTGCTCCCTGCTGCTTTTTCCCTGCGTCCTGCCGGGTGCTGCCCGCTCCCTGCTCCCCAACCTTCCCCGCCGTGTGCCGTGCGCTCCCCGCGCCGGCTTTGACCTTTTTCTTGGGTGACCTAGAGCGTGCCGATGGCGAGCGAACTTGCGGGGAGAGCGTGGTTGCTTTTTTTTTTTTTTCCCCTTCCTGGGAAAAAGATGCGGGGAAGAGGCATGGTGTTCCCAGCCATTTGCCAGCACCCCCCTTGCCAGCCGTGGGAGAGGCAAATCTCGGCGAGCAGCCGGCGCTGCTGCTCTCAGGCCACCCCGAGCGGCACAGCAGCACGGTGGAGGTGCTGGGGAGGCTCCATGCCAGGAGCTCATTTTCCCTGCTGCCCCCCAGGCTCCCCCCCCCCGTGGCTGCGTGCACCTCCTGCTGCGCTCTGCCCAAGCGTTGAGCACCAGGGGTGGCAGGATTGTGCCATGCTGGGCACCCCACGCCTCCCAGCCCTCCTTCCTGGGCCACCTTTGGGTGCCCCCAGGCTCCTGCTGTCCTGCCTGGGGGTGTCTCTGCCCTCCCCAGGCACCGCAAGTCCCTGGGAGAAGCTCGGGGCTGCAGCACGGGAAGGGCCAGCAGAGAAGAGCTCGTGCCGCTCCCTGGCTGTTTCTCTTCCCTCGTGCAAGTGGGAAGTTTCTTGTCCTGCCAGGAGGAAGCCCTGTGGTGGAGGCTGCTTTCAAGGATGTTTCATTTCTAGAATATTTAATTTCAGTGCTGTTTATCTCGAGCGAAACTGCTGAGGAATCGCTCTCCCGGCCCGGTGTTTTCTGCCCCTCTGGGGAGGAACGGGGCATTTCGTGCGAACCTCGTGGGGCGAGAGCAGTGCTGCCGTGTTCAGGAGCGTCTCCCCAGTGGGCGTTTTGCCTGCTCCATCCAAATTTTTGCACCCCTCAGCTGGAGCCCCCTGCGAATTGCCCACCTCCAGCTGGGCTGAAACCCCTCGGTGCTGTGCGGGGGGAGCTCCCCAGGGCCTTTTGGAGACGTTTGCTGTCGGAGCTTCGCTTCGGCGGGGAGTTGAGCGCAAACTCGAACAGAAAGCAAATGCTTTCGCCACAGCGCTGCTTGTTTGCTCAATTGCCTGATCACAACTGAGGAGTGTTGGCCCTAAGCTGGAAACTCCTGGTTGCTGAAAGCCAGCGAGGCTCTGGCTGTGAGCTCCGCTCCAGTGAACCGCTGCGATTTCCTGCCACAAATGAATGGCTCAAGCGAAGCTGTCGAGCTTAATCAAATGTCGCCCCGGAGGGAGAACCCCTTTTTTCCAAGCCAGTGGTAGGAAAAAAAAAAAAACCATCCTGGCCTCCCAACAGGGCAAAAGGTGCTGGGTTGCCAGCTGGTGAGAGCGGTGGTTTGTGTGAATGGTTTTGGGCGCAGGCATGCAAATCTCTTTCCACGTGGGTTCGGTGGAGACGCTGCAGGGAGCTCTCCTGCCCCCGTGGTCAAACCCAGCCTGACCTCGAGGAGCTGGCACGGGCTCCTGCTGCTGCAGGAAGCCATCGCCGAGCAAAAGGGAAAAGAGATGAGGCTGCAGGATGCCTTTCTGTAGGGCAGAGGGGAGCGATGTGCTGGAAAACCCAACTGCAAAGCCCCCTGGTGAAACCTCCGCTGCTCCCAGCCCTTGGCTGCAGGCTCTGCTCAACGAAGGGCTTTGGGGGCGCTTCCCGGAGGCTCCGAGGAGGAGGAAATCTGTTCGGTCGCGGGGCTCTGGCTTGAGATCTGTTAAATTTCTGTTAACGCTGTAGGAGGGAAGCTCGCAAGTGGTGGCTGTGCGTGATCCGAGGCTTCCTCTGATGTCATTCTGTAAAATATAGCCCTACTACGGCGATCCGCGCGGCGCTGGGTGATTATCTCGCTCCCTTTTTCTTCCCCCAAACTGCAGCTTCCAGGCTCTTTTTATAGCCGGCACCTGTTAGTTTCCCCAGCAGCCTCCCTGCTGCAGGTGAAATTCCAGGAGGATTATTTTGGGGTGCCTCTGCCCATCCGCGCCCGGATGCCGGCGGCCAGCTGCACGGCGCCCTCCCCTCGCCATCCCCAAACTCCTTCCCCGGCGCCTTCTGAAGAAAATCTATTTTTACCAGGACTCATTCGAGCGCTCTCGCTCGAATTCAAACCCTGGCCTCTTACAATCTGTGCGCTAGCAAATACTTCAAAAAGGTGGAGTTAGAGGGGGAAAAAAAATGTGTCACCGAGATGGAAAACTTTCACCGCAGCGGGAGAGCGAGGTGGTGGTGCGCTCTTGATTGAAATCAAATAAAGGACGAGGGACTCCAGCAGCCCGGGCAGCACGGTGCCTGTGCTCCTGCCCTCTCCTTGGGCCTGAAAAAAGCCCTTTGGTAATTCAGGGAGTGTAGGGCAGAGCAGGTCACAAGGGCACAGAGCACCTGAACTCCCCTTGACCTTGGTGGCGAGAGGGAGAGGGCTGCGCTCCCTCCCCAGGAGGTTTGGGGTCTGGCTTGGTCTGTCTTCTAAGAAAAGAGCTTTATGGGGTGGCACTGCGGGATGTGGCAGGTGGGAAGCTGGCTTGGTTGAGCTGCTGCTCGTTGTGGGGCAAAACACGGTGGGGAGAAGTAAAGGCACGGGGTGGCACGTGCCGCCAGCGGGTGCCTGCTCGGGGAGGGCTGCGCTCGGCTCTGGAACGAGGAAGGGGAGATGTGAAAGTCTGAGGTCTCGTACATGGTGCGAGGGGAAGCTGCCCTCAGGGGGAGGGAGAGAAGGAGCCTCGGTGGAAACTTTGCATTTTTCAAGCTTGCATGTTCTGGGGTTTTCAATCAACTTCCCCTTTGTGATTTCCCATCACGAGGAGGGTGGGGGCATGGCTCCGTGGGGTGCTGCCGATGTTGGGAACTGCTTGTGCCTGACCGGGGGACGTGGGGCAATGAGCAGGGGACGTGGGGAAGCCTGCACGGCGCCTCGAGGGGCTGCTGGGGGCTCCCAGCACCTCGTTAGGGCAGCGTGGTGTTAACACGACGTATCATGGCTGAAGCTCATGGATAATAAATCTCCTGCGAATCCCGAATGTGGCGATCCGAGCAGAGCTGCGTGAAAAATCTCTGAATTAGCACAGTGCCTCACAGCAGAACTCACGGGGGAAAAATAGCCAAAAAGCCTCGTCTCAGCCCGAACGGAGGGGCTATTTTGGAGCCGTGAAACGTTTTATGTAACGACCAAGACCGAAAGCTGCTGGCAGCACAGATCCCCGTGCTCCCTGGCTGCTTTTGGGTGCCGGGGCCAGCAGCAGCCCCTCGCCTCGCTGCCCAGCGAGGAGGCAAAACAGAAATACTCTCAGCAGCTGAGCGATGCTTGTGCCTTGACCCTGTTCTGAAACCCCTCTCAGAGACCCCAAAGCGGGGTGTTCTTCCCCCACCGCCTTCCTCCCCTCTGGGCACGACGCGTGCCTCGCTGAGAGCTCGACAGATGGAGAGAGGGAGGATGCAGAGGGAGCGCGTGGCTCCGCGCGGGCTGTGCTGGTCCCCTGGAGCTGGGCAGCTCCTGCAGCGCACGGGGCCCTCCGGGTGCCCATGGGGATGAGGATGGGGGGGAGCCCTGCCCCGCTGCTCGGCTGCTTTTAGGCAGGATCGCAGCAAGGAGGAGCGAGCAAAGCTTTTGTCACGCGGCGCAGAGGGGGCCCAGCTCCGGTCCCCGCTTCCCACAGCCACCCACGGGTGTGCCCGGCCCTTTTTGCAGCACCCCGTGCTGATGAGCCACGGGGCAACGTGGGTGTTGGTGGCCAGATGGGGCAGGAAGCAGATAGCAGAACGCATCCTGCAGCCAGGAGGCTGCCCTGGGTCTGCAAAGGGGTCATGGGTTTGTGCTGGGGGGTGGTGATCCCGGTGCCTGGAGCTGCTCCGTCCCTGCTCCACTGGAGGCTTTCCAACTTCTGTGCCATGCTCAGATGCTCTCAGGAGGAGCTGCACCAGAAGTTGTGCCGCATGTTGGCCCTCTCTGGGTTCAGGGTCTCTGCTCTGGGGCTGCTCCCCCCCTCCCCAGCCACGCATCACCCCAAAATCTCAGGCTCTGCTTGCAGAAGCCCAGCCCGTTGTGCGCAGGCAGGAAATGGAGGCTCAGCCTGAAGGGCGCGCTCAGGTGTGACACAAACCTGTTTTCCACCTTTCCATGCCTGTCTTTTGGCACAAGCCTGTTTTGGCATCGCGTGCTGCTACCACGCTGGCTTTGCTGTGGCTCCGAAGGGAAATGCTGAGGCCTGAAGCTTTTGGCTGCGAGCATCAGCCCGTGCAGGGCTGCAGCTGAGCTGCTGCCCTGGCCAAAAAGCCTCAAAGATGAGATCTCCATGCCTGTCTCTCCCTGTGGCTTGGCACGGAGCTGCCCCCGAGTAGGGAATGAGGTGCGTGGGGCTGCTGGGGTGCGTGGGCAGCCTCGCGGGAGCCCCTGCCCTGGGATTTTATGGTTCAAGAGTTGTGGCGCAGCCGCAACCCAAACGGAGCTGAGGAGCAGGCTGGGCTGGTTGCACCACAGCTCGTACAAAGTCCTTTCTGCAGTCCTGTGGCCTTCATCCGTGTGCTCCCAGTGCTGGCAGCTGCAGCAGGAGCTGCCCGCCCAGGTCTTGCAGCCTTTGCGCAGCCGTGGCACTGCTCCTGCGCGCCGCTCACCAACCCCGGGGTTATGGTGTGGTCAGCAGCACCCTTATCAGCAGGGGAATTCAGGCAGTGCTCCCACCTCCTCGCTGCTTAAAAACCTTCCCTCAGGCACTCATTGAGTTCAGGTGCAGTAACTATAGCTGTATGACAAGCGTCACCAAAATTACTAGGTGGTGGAGCCGCGGGGGGCTCTGCCTGCGGTGCTGCGGCTCCCTCGCCCCATGGGGAGCGGGGACGTGGCCGGCTCCTGCTGGGCTGAGCCGTGCCTGCTGCGGTCACTGCCCGGCCGTGGGGAAGAGCAGAGCTTCTGCCCTTCCCCTGGAGCCCTCGGGGATTTTGCTCGGTTGAGGGTGCGTGCGGGAAGGGGCACGGGGTCGGCTGCGTCAGGGCGCCGCGGTGCGGAGCCGCTCGGAAGGCAACGAGTTTCCTCTGCTGGTGGCGAGGAGGAACAGCGGCTGCCTCCTGGGCTTCAGCTAACAGCTGGGCTCTGCTGGGGTGAATCGGGGCTGGGATTTGGTGCACGCGGAGATGTTCAGTGCAGAATGTGGTGGTGGATCCCGAATCTGCGAGGGGAGACCGCGGCTTGGCGTTTGGCATTGCGTGCCCTTGAGTCCTCTTGGCTGATGGCAGCGAGATGCGCCAGGAGGGGGAGGCAGCGGGGCTCGGCTCGAGGTTTGGGCTGTGCAGAGCGTGAAATGCGTTCGTGCAGCTGGGCTCTGGTCGGTTCCCCAGCTGAGACCTGCAGGCACGGGCTGTGCCTGCTCCTGACCCTCTGCCTCTCGTCCTCGGGGTGCTGGCACAGAGCTGCCCACGAGTCCTGTGCCGTGGGGACAGGCACGGAGCCTGGGCAGTGCTGCGCTGCCAGAGGTACAGGCACTGGGATGGGGGCCACGGGGCTGTTTCTGCAGTTGGAAGGGACCTGATGGAGTTTGGTTTGTCCCCAGGTGCCGATGCCCAGGCAGGCTTTCAGCTGCACCAGCCCCAGAAGGAGGTGTCGGTGAGAGTGGGGGAGACGCTGACCCTGATCTGCACCGTGACTGAAGGGGGTCTCACCGGCCCGTGAAGTGGCTGAAGGGCTGGGGCAGTGGCAATGAGACCATTTATGACCAAAAGATTCCCCTCATCCCGGGGGACAATAGGCAGTGGATGAGTCCAACACAAACTTCACCATCCTCATCAGGGATGTCCGCCCCGAGGACGCCGGCACCTATTACTGTGTGAAGTTTCGCAAAGGACCCACCGGTGATGAGTTGTATCGGCGAGGCAATGGCACGGTGGTGTCGGTGCAGGGTGAGTGGGGCTCCCAGTACAGCTCCCAGCAGGAGCCAGCCCTGCCGGGTCAGCCCCCGTCCCGTCCCCTGGGCTCTGCTCTGGGGCAGGGGCTCAGGAGCCGGCCCAGGGAGAGGGTCCCGGGGCCAGGGGGACACAGCCCGGCTGATGGACCCGCGCTTCTCCCACAGCCAGACCCTCCAACCCCACTGTGTCCGGGCCCAGTGACCGAGTGGAGCCGGGGAATACGGTATCCTTCATCTGCAAGTCTGGGGGGTTCTTCCCCAGTGACATCGATGTGAATTGGTTCAAAGACAAGACCCCGATTCAGCCTCAGCTGCGTAATGTCACCCCTGGGCCATCGAACTTCACCTACAACATGTCCAGCACCGTGACGGTGACGCTGCAGAAGGACGACATCCACTCAGAGCTCACCTGCCAGGTGCTGCACACCACGCTGACGGCCCCGCTGACGAGGAGTTACCATCTGAGCCAGATCCTGCGAGGTGAGGGCTCGGTGGGGACCGGTGCTCACGGCCCCGGGGCTGGGACAGGGCTGGGGGACACCAGTTCCATCCGCTGCTTCTCTTCCCAGTTCCCCCCAAAGTGGTCATGGAGCCTCCAGGCCCCATGGGGCTGAACGAGACGGTGAGCTTCACCTGCGACGTGCAGGGCTTCTACCCGGGAAGCGTGACCGTCACCTGGCTGGAGAATGGGAAGGAGATGAACACGGAGAGCACTCCTCAGCCGACGGAGACCTCCAAGGGCTTGTTCGATCTGAGGAGCACGGTGTCAGTGCAAGCCGTGCTGGAGAAGAACGGCTCCGTGTTTGCCTGCCGGGTGGTGCATGAGGGCCAGGACCCCCTCAGCAGGAATGCCACGCTGTTGGTCGCCGCCTCAGGCCAGAAGGAATCCAACTCCCCCTACACAAACGGTGCGTGTGGCCCCTGAGGGGAAGGCTGTGGGATGTCATCCCCCTGGGAGAGCTCAAAGTCCCACCAGAATTCGGTCCAAGGTCTTTGTGTCCTTGGGGGGATGCGTCTGGGAACCCAAATGTTGTCCTTGGTGCTTAGAGCGTCTCTGCACCGATCCCAGCTGCAGGGGCTGGTGGTGCTGCCATTGCCTCTGGGCCCATGGTGATATTTTTGACCTGTGATTCACGTTTTAGGCAATTCACTCTTTATCTACGTTGCGGTGGGAGTGGTCTGCACCGTGCTGGCACTGCTGGTGATTGCAATTCTCTACCTCATCCGGGTGAAGCAGAGCAAGGGTAAGGAAAACCACGTGTGTGGCAGGGGAAGCAGCTGCCTCCAGCCCCTTCTTCTCGAGCATCAGAGCTTTGATGCTGAAATTCACGGCTGCAGCTCCTGCAGAAAGGGGAGGACAGAGCAGAACTCGCAGGGTGTTCGCAGGCTGCGGGGAAAGCTCTGCCTGGTGCAGAACCAAAAGCGCTCAGTTCTCCTTGTGCCCAAAACACCTGATGCCACCCCGCATCTCCTGCTCTGCACCAGGAAGAGTCCTGCACCAAATGAAGCCAAACTTCTGAAAAATGTAGCCGCTTGTCTCTAGGAAAATGTGCATCTGCTCTTGATTTATTATTTTTTTTGTGCGTGTGGGCTAGCATTCCTTGGGAAGTGGGGGTTACTTTGTTTCCTGATCCATTTCTTCCCTAACCTATTTCTCTTCTGGCAGGTAAAAGCTCGCCATCTGCTAGGTAAGTGCAGATCTTCTCCCCTCACTGAGTCGCCCATCGCCTGCTCCATCTCTAGAGAAGAGGCAAACGGGGTGCTCGGTCGGTCTGACCCATCTCCTTTCCCCTTCCAGGTTACATGAGCCGGAGAAGAGCAGCGGGACAACCACCCAGGTGTGTCCCTTACCTGTGGGACCCGGGGAGGGGCAAGTAGCAGATGTGGGAGCAGAGGTGGTGGTGGTGGCTCCCGCGTGAAGCATCTCAGTGTCTCCACACTATGGCCAAAGAGGGAGAGGGAGGAGAAGCTGCCCTGGGGATGGATGCTGGCTTCCCAGCATCCTTTCTTCTGCCTTTGCCTCTTTTCCTTCTCCTCCTGGGAGAGGTTGGGTTGCAATGACTGGAACCAGCTGCGCGGTGGCGAAGGAGGCTCTTCGTGGAGGAGTTCTGTGTGTGGTGACGTGGTTGTGTGCGATGTCGTGATCAGCAGCAATCTGTCCGTCCCAGCCAGCCTGTGCTGGCTCCTGTGTGGGCTGCGTGCAGCTGGTGTCATTAGAAGGGTTGGGGGCTGCTGCGTGAGGCCCTGATCAGGATGGTGGTGATGGGGATGGCAGCAGCAGAGGACCCCCTGGGAGATGTCCCTGCAGGCCTGGTGGTGGCTTTTGGCACCTGCTGGCTCTGAGCCGTGTCAGTGGCCACTAGTTTGAAGGCACAGGGTGAAAATGTTGCTGCAGGGTTGTCCCAGCTGGCTGCTGGCATAGCTCCTGCTGCTTGAGTAGAGGTTGAGCTGTCCCGGGGCAAGCAGCAGTGGGGTGGGCACAGGGGAATCCTCGCTTCTGCCCTCGGAGGAAAACCTTTTGGTATCTCGCGCAGGACTCTGACCCCAACAACATGACCTACGCTGACCTGAACTTCACCAAAGAGAAGAAGAACGTCCAGCGGGTCATCGAGGTGAGCCAGCAGTCGGAGTACGCCTGCATCCAGGGCAGCCAGGCGCCCGCCAGCAATGACAACCTCACCTATGCAGACCTGGACATGGTGCACCTCAGCAAGGCGCCCCGGCGGCCTGCCCCGTGCCCCGAGGAGACCACCTCCGAGTACGCCAGCGTCCAGATCCAGCGGCAGTGAGCGGGGCTGCACCGGCTGGGGCTCACGGGGTCCAGGTCCTCCCCAGGGGGGGGCTTTTTTGGCAGCACCGACTGCTACGGTACCTGCGGTTTGGGATGGAAGCACAGCCTTTGGCACCGTGGCTGACTTCTGTCCGCAGAGACTTGGTTTTTGGGGCAGCGTTGGGGACTCCTTGCCTGTGGGACTCCCCCTTGGCCGAGAGGGCCCCTGAGCTGTGGTGCGTTGGGTTTGCTTGCAAAACCCAAGGATTCATCGCTGGAAAGTGCTGCAGCTCGTCAGGAAACCCTGACCAGGCTTAGGGGGGGGACCAGGACAGTGCCTCCGAGCCAGATGCTGTGGGGATGCTGCTGCCGCGGCTTCCCGCAGCTGGGGGGGCCCCCGCTCTGCCTTTGGGGGCTCTACTGCCTGGAAAAACTCTGGCTTTAAAGGAAGGACGTGAGCGTCCGCCTCTCTCTTCCCAAGTGTCTCTTTTGCGGGCTCTCACGCTGCGGCCCCCGAGGCTGGGGAGGTGTGCGGGGTGTGTGAGGCGAGCCGGGGCTGTGCTGGCTTTCCCATATCGTGCTGCCCGGGGCACTGCAGCTCCTCAGCACCAAGCATCCTCCTCCTCCTCCTCCTCTTCCTCGGCCTTGCCCTGCTCCAGGACCGAGCCGTGCTCCCTCCGCAGCCACGCAGCCCCAGCCGGGCCTGGAGGCCGCAGCGAGGCCCCGCTCCCCCCCCTTGGTTACAGCTCTCCCCCCCCCCAGGCACTGTTTAACATGTTTTGACTGTTCGACATGTAACTCTTAATTTTTCGAGCTTCAAACCCAATGTTTCTTGTGTCGTACGTGGGTGTACTGCCGTGTTATGTAGCACTAGAATAAGATGTGCAAAAATTAAGGACGAGGCCTACGTAAAAAAAACAAACCCTAAACCCTGTAGAGCTTCAGCGTCTCACATGCCCCATTCCACACCCCCCCCCAGGCTTGGCTGGGGGGCCAGGCCAGCTCCCTGCAGCCAGGGGCAGGGGGGGGACACGTATTTTTGTGTCCCCCCCACCCCATGGACATGGTGTGGGGACACCCCCCCCATGGTGCCCGCGTGAGGCATTGGGGAGCCTCGCCGCTGCTTCGGGATCTGTGTGACCGCTTGTACTGACCATGACTTGTTTCTCTTTTTCTTTTTGCTTGCGAGATATTTTTATAATAAAAGTGAAAAGTCCTGCGCCGGCCCTGTGTAGCAGCAGGTCTCTGTGCTTGGGGGGGTCACCGTGTCACCTCCTGGGGGGGTACGTGGTGGGCTGGGGGTCACAGTGGGCCTGCCATGAGGGGCAAGGCCTCATCCAGCACCATGAGGAGAGGAGCTTGGGGTCAGGGTGCTTGGTGCCAGGGTCCTGGGCACCATGAGGAGGGGGCAGCTCTGCATGTGGCCCCCCTGATGTCTTTAGGTGCTCTGCAGCCCCAGGAGGGGACGTGGAGCAGCCCCAGCTGGGTGTGGGGTGGTTCTGTGCTGGGGGCGAGCTTCTGCCATGGGGCCTCTCCCCCCTCAGAGACTGGGGCTGGTGGTGTCCTGCTTGGAACAGGGGCTGAGATGTTCAAAAGGCTGTTTGCTGCCTGGCTTTGGCTTTCCTGGCACGGAGCTGCTGCCAGCAGGGTCATGCTGTCCTGGAAGCACAAGCAGCAAAGGGAAGGCTTCACAGGCAGGGGCAGCAGCAGTGGGGTTTGGGGGCACCCATGGTGTGCTATGGTGTGTGGAGTACATCAGGTGCTGCCTGCAGGTACTTGTGGCCCCCCTGGCCCTGGTTTGGGGTGCACGATCACCTCATGCCAAGGGCTGGATCCACGTGGAGGAAGCAGAGGCTCGGCACCAGGCACGGCTTCGTTGGCATCTGCCTTTTATTGGCTGCGGGGGGAGCAGGGGGCCGGGGAAGCAGGACTGACCCCTGCGAGCAAACCTCGAGGGTGTTCTCGGGACGGGGAAGGTGACGGGGCCGGGTGGGTGCTGGGATGAGGGGGACACAACGAGCAGCTCCAGGAGGGGATGGGGTGCTCGGCCAAGCACAGCAGCCTGCCCCCATGGCAGGGATATGGTGTGAGCCCTCCCCAGCTGCCTCTCCCCGTGGATGTCTGCAGCCCCCTGTGGGACCTGCTGGTTGTATGGCCATATCCCAGCCTATAGGGCCTGATCCTGCTCCGGCTCATCCTTCCCAGCCTTCAGGAGCTGTTGTCCCATACATCAGCTGTGATGGTTCCCAGACCCTGCTGCATGCTTGCAGCCGCAGGAAGGCAGGGGATGCGTCCCCAGTGGGGTTGCCCCCATGTTATGGGGAGCACGGGGGCTGCACCACCAGCAGCCGGAGGAGTGACAACAGTCCCCTGGGTGCACGGGGTCCTGGAGGAGAGGGCAGAGGAGCTGGAGAGGAACAAATGGGGATGGAGACACGGGCTGCCTCCATCGGGTGTACTGGGCTGGGGCTGGGGGTGGCAGATCCCAGCCCGTGCCCCGTGGTGGGGGACGAGGTGGGGACGATGCCAGCCACGCCGGGCTGGGCAGGGGACAGGGGTTGGGGGGTGATGGCATCATCTGGGCTGTCGGCGTGGGGCCCCGCGGGGTCTCCTGTCCCGTGCTGGGCTCTATAGGTCTAAGACCTCCGCTGAGTAGGCACTGGGGTCCTCGTCCGACCGCGTGGTCACCTTGAACTGCCGCCGCAGGAAGCCCCCGTAGCGCTTCTGATTGTCCCACTTCAGCTTGGGCCGGATCCGGCGCATGAAGCCGCCGTAGCGCTTGTGCAGCTCCGCCAGCTCCTGCCCCTCGGCCCCCGGCCCCGCGGACTCCTCGCTGCCCACGTCCCCCGGCCCCGGGTAGTCCTCGGGGGCCGCCCTCTCCCCCGGTTTGCGGCTGAAGCCCCCGAACTTCTTGCTGAGGCCGCCCTTGCTGTGGGCATTCTCGCGCAGCAGGGCCAGCAGCTTCCCCTTGGCCAGCTTCTTCATGAAGCCCCCGTAGCGCTTGGCCGGTGCCAGCGGCAGCTCCCCGGGGCTGAGCTCCTGCTCCGGCTCTGCCTCGTCCTCTGCCTCCAGCAGGGGACGGGTCTGTCCCTTCGGCCAGGGCCACCAGCGGGGCCAGCAGCGCCAGCGCCTTCCTGCAGGTCTCCCACTCGGCACCAGGCGGCGAGGAGCCCTGGCACTCCCGCAGGCACATCTGCAAGACACAGCGCCCGCTGGCATCACCCCGGCGCTCGGGGCCAAAGCTTGTGCACCCCCAGCACCCTTGGGTGCCTGCGAGCACCCATACGAACCCCCAGCTTGACCACGCACCATCACCGTGCGACGTCCCCGAGCGTGTCCAACAACCCCCGACCCTCGGGTTTTTCCCTCCCTGCTAAATTTGGGGGGCTGCTCGGGACCAGCACTCACCAGGGGCCGCACGCTGCTCTCGCTGCCGTGTCCCTGGCCGGCGCACAGGGAGCACTGGGTTGCGCAGTCGGCGGAGGCTGCCGCAGCCAGGGAGAGGCAGAGCACCAGCACCAGCGCCCTCCGCGCCATCCTGCCCTGCAGCCGCTGCCTGGGGAGGACGAGACAGCACAGGGACCGTCACCTCCCCGTGTCCAGCACCCAAAACCCTCACCCCGCCGTGCCCAGAGCCCTTGGTCACCCCATGGTATGGAGCGAGCCACCTGCTGCTTCCACCCGCTCCTGGGGCCGCGTGCCCTCACCACTCACCTCTGGGAGCTGCTCCTGGGCACCAGGGGGGACAGGAGTGACCCGTGGGGACACCGCAGGACGCCGGGACGCTGCACTGCCTGCAGCCTGGCCCTTTGCACAAGCCTCGAGGACCCGAGTCCCACCCCGAGCCCCCCATCACCTCTCGTGCGTTGTCTGTGAGGACGGTCCCTTTTTCTTTTGGCGTCACATTGCTCTGCAACACCGCGAGCGTGCGTTTGCGCGGCGTGGAGGGGATGAATCAGCGCCGCTCCCCTTGGCCTTGGGGATGAACAACGCCGAGCCGCGGAGCCGCCAGCAGAAGGGGCTGGGGGAGCCGTGGGCAGAATTGGGAGCTGGGCTGGCCTCCGGCAGTACGGCCTCACCCCGCTGCTCCAACCCACGCTGCTTCTGCGTGGGGAGTACAACGGGAGGGAGGGAGGGAGGGGAAAAAGCTGATTTGGGGATGGAGCCTACCTGCCAGCCGTGGTTGCCATCCACCAGCCTACCGAGAGCCCTGCTGGGGTGTCTCACCTCCGGGGATGTGGCCAGGAGGGCTGGGTGCTCCGTGCCATGGCTCGGAGAGGGGCCCGGTGCCACCCCTGAACCTCCCCAGAGATGCTGGAGGGGCCGGTGGTTGGCACCAGTGGCAGCAGCTGGGAATGGTGGTGACTTTGGGCCCTCAATGGCCCTGGGAGGGAGAGCTGAACCCAAAGGGGTGCGTTGGCAGCAAGCACCCTCCTGCCTCCGTGGCTGCTTTTATCTGGGGTGGAAAGGCATGACCCAGAGGGATCTGTATCACGTTAATGACGCATGTCAGAGACTATTGTATTCTCCGGCAGCGCCCGCTAATGTACTGTAATTGGCACTGATGAAGAAATGTTAATGCCACGGTATTAATTCACGCTAAATTAAATTTTAATTTGAATTATCTGCACCATCCTGTGTCAAGCGAGCTGCATTCCTCGGCTGCGCCCACCGCACGCCGGCTCCGCCACCACTCGCCCCGGCAGAGCGGTGGGCACGGGGCTGGCGGCTCCCCAAGGTGAGCACGGGCACGAAGAGGGGCACAACGGGATGGGCTGCCCTGCCCCACACCACCGAGACCCCACAGGGTGTCCCTTATCACCTCCCTGCCACCGAGACGGGGCTGAGAGAGGAGTCCCCAGCCGCCGAGGTAAGCGCGAGCCGCGATACCGGGGGAAACGAAGCTCACTAATTGCATCCGTCGGCTGCACGGCAGCGCTGCTGCTGGGATCCTCGCTGGCATTCCCTGAGCAGCCCGGGGAATTTGCCCCACACCTGTCTGGAAGCAGGGAAGAAGCTGCAGCCCCCCAGCACCGCCGCGAACCTACCTTGTCCCCGCACTGCCACCAAGGTCCCCACGGCGCTCTGCCGTGTTCCTGCTGCGGGAGGGAGGAGAGACGGGCAGGGCTGGGGCAGGGGAACGGGGGGAAAAAACGCAGAGCTGAAGGCAAAAGTGAAAAGAAGGAGCACGCAAAGGGCAGAGGCAAAGGGAGGATGGAGAGCAGCGGGGTTAGAGCGTGACACCGCGGCACCTGGGGGCACCCCGAGGTTGGGGATCTCTGCTCGGGCTCGTGTCCTGGGGCCACGTCCCGTCCACACGATCTCAGCCACCTCTAGAAGTGCCCCTGCTGGCTCCGGGTTCCTGCATCCACCTTCAGCACACCCGACCTGTGTCCCGTGTGCCCCGCATGGCCCCTCCATCCCTGCCCCTTTTTCTGCTCAGGGTTTTGATGCCCACCTGGGCTTTGCTCGTGCGGAAAAGCCCCGAGAGCATCCTTGTACCACGGCGCTGGGTTAGGATCTCGGCTGTACCGGCACCGGAGGGATGGGGAACTGGCACCAGGCAGGCAGCAGGTGACAGAGACCGGCAGCACGACCAGGGGGAGGCTTTGCTCCCTGCCACCACCCCCGTAACCGTGAGCATTTCTAGCGCAGAGACATCCCCAGCCCTCACGCAGCTCCTCAGGCACGCTCCGTGCACCCAGGCTTGCAGCTTTCTCCTCCTGGGGAAGTCTAACCCGGCCAGCTTGGGGGACCCTACAGGTGTGTGGTGGAGAGGCAGAACCACCTTCCAGCAGCTCCCTGCCTCTCCGTTTTAAAAATCACCCGACGACAAGTTCAGGCCAATGCTTCTCCAAAAAAAAACCCAATGACTTTTGGACCAGAATCGCGGCAAAACCCAGCAATGCCGCGGCGCAGCGGGGTCTGGCCGAGGGTGCACAGCCAGAGGCACCCTGAGGGCATTTCCCCAGCTGCCCTCGGCTCTGTCCCGGGCTGCGAGCTCTCCACGTGGGCAGGTGGCTGCAGCACCAGCATGGAAACGAGCCCCAGAGAGGTGAGGGACGAGGGGAGATGGAGCCCTGGCCGCGCTTCCGAGCCCCAATAATGCAAGGAGCGCGAGGTGCTCCCGGCACAGCAGCTTGGGAGATGGTTTTTAAACACCCTGAGTCACGCTCCTGCGAGCAGAAGCGGTGCCCAGCTGCAGCGAGGGGACGATGGTGAGGGAAGGGGAGCGAGGCGGCGACCCGAACCCCAAATCCGCGGCCGTGCGCCCCAGCCCTACCTGCTGGCGCTGCCCGTCCCGCCGAGCTCTCCCCCTTGGCCAAACCCTGCGGAGCTGGGGGGCACGCGGAGCCCCTCGCCCGGGGCTTTCTGGAGGCTCTCCCTCGTCAAGCTGAGCCGGGCATCGGCGGCGAGGCTGGGCTGGAGGCCGTGGAGCTCCCGGGTGCCCGCTGGACTCGCCGCCCCGTCGGCTCCCAAGCCCGCTTTTATGGCCACCGAGTCTCCTCCTGCTGCGGGGCCCGGCTCCGCTCAGCGCCGCGGAGCCAATCGGGGTGAGGGAAGCTGTGAATAATCAGCCCCGCAGCATCCCCGCCACCTCCCGAGCAGGCTCTCCCGCCTCGCCACGGCCTCGCCAAGAGCCCTGGGGACCGGCTGCGAGCCCCCCAGCCGGCACCACAACCCCTGCATCCCCCCTGGGACCTCCAATGGGGTGGGAACGTGGGTCCCCAGCACGGTGGGCGGCAGGCGGGGGTCTCTGAGCTGCATGGGTGTGAACCTCGCCAGGGTGTTGATGCGAACCGTGCCCGAGATGCAGGGCAGCTTGGGGAGCCCCCGGTGCTGCACCTCGTTATGGGGGCTCCGGAGAAGCCCCGAACTCGTGGTGGTGCCGGGGAGAGGACGGAGCCCACCCAAAGGCACCGGGGAGGGCGAGGGGGTGGGTTTGCGCCCCTGGAGAGGCCGAGGAGCCGCTTGGGGCTGGCTCCCCCCACCCAGCCCTGGCTGCAATCAGGCAGCAAAGACCTCGCAGAGACCCCCCCACACACCGCTGACCCCCCGTCTTCCCCCACCTCCCTCCCCTCGCGCCCTCCTCCTCCCGGGAACAAACCCAAAATGCCGAGCCTGAAGGGGCTGAGGGGGCAGGTGAAGGCAAGGCAGAGCCCCCCCCATACCCCCTGCTTGGCTCTGCCCCCCTGCCCACCCATTTCCAAGCCCAGTTTGGGGCTGGGCAGCACTGGGACACCCCATAAAGCCGTGCCAAACCGTGCCCCACATCCTGACGCCCCCCAACATCCCCCCCCCTTGCCGGGGCCCGGCTGCCCCATCCCCAGCAGCTCCAGCCTTGAAGACGGAGCTATTTTTATCGGTGCTCAAGAGGGATGTTTCCCAGCAACCCGACTTTTCTCCCCAGGCTTCAGCACCAGCTGCCGGACCCGGTGCCTGTGCTCAGCCCTCCCGGTGCCGGTGAGGGGCGCGGGGGGGCCGTCGGCACGGCTGGGACCCTCCGGAGCCAGGCAAGGAGGCACCGGTTGCCCACGGTCCCATGGCACCAGTGCCGCCTTCTTCACTGGCCTCCTCGTTTGGGGCACCCGTGGAGATTTTATGGGGTGGGGTTTGGGGCAGCCAAGCCGGGGGTGAACCCATATGGGGGGACCGAGGGAGCAGGGAAAAGGGGGGGGGAAGCAAGGATGGAGCACCCTGGGACTGGTGGAGAGGACTGGAGGGGACTGGGGGACACTGGGGGAGACTGGAGGGGACTGGAGGGGACTGGAGGGGATGTCCCGTGTGGGATCCATGCTGGGAGATGGCAGCAGAACATCGGGGAGTGGGGGGGGTCCCCAGAGGGTACGAGCAGAGGCTGCTTCGCCCCCTCCATCCCCGGCGCTCCCGCTGGCACGGCAGGAGAGAACAAAGCGGAGAACAAAAAAAAAAAAGCAGCTGCAAACCCACAGCCGGCACCCTCAGCCCTGCTGAGGTTTACCCCGTGCTGCCGGAGCCCTGCGGGAACCACGAGGAGGCTTTTCTCACCCCAAAACCACCCCGTCTATCAGCTCGCCCTCCCAAAATCGCCGAGCGCAGGCGCCAAAACCCCCTGGTTTCGCCCCCGCTGCCGCTCGCTCCGAAGCCCCTCTGGGTTGGTGGCTGCTTGGGGAGCGGGGAAGGGGAACGGTGTGGGGCTGCACCCCAAAATTTGAGCTGCCCCAGACCTCATCACATGCTGGGACCCAAAAGGCTCAAAGCCAGCACCAAAAACAGCCCCGCAGCAACGTGAGCCCAGCGCAGGACCCCGGCACCTATTGCTCAGCACCACACCACGACCCCAAATGGCACCAGCCCCCCACCAAACCCCGGTGTCTGCCGAGCCCCAGGAGGGGAACGGAGCCACCCTGACCCCAAAAACGCCCCCATTGCTGGCACCGGGGTGCAGCCACCTCGCCTGCGGGGTAATTGCACCGCGGGGACAGGATTTTGGGGAGCCCCCGAGCACGGGGACGGGATGGGGGTAACGAGGTCGGATTTCTCCCAAATCCAAGCTGCAAAAAGGCCGGGTCCCAGGGCTGATCCCGACCCCGGGTGGGCGCGGGAGTGCCGGGGTCCTTTTGGGAAAGGCGCTGCCAGCGAGCCCACCCACCAGCGCCTTTAATTAACCACCAGCGCCTTTAATTAACGCTCATCTCGTCGCTTCCTAACGGGGGAACCGAGCCTCTGAGTCACGCTGACGTTGCCCTGGGATGGTAACGAAGCGGCTGGGTGAGGGATGTGCTGGAACGGGGAACTTTTCCCAACTCCTGCCCTAAAAAGCGGCTTCGTGGGGGGGGACGGAGATGGGGATGGGTGTGCACAGTGATGCTCGCGGCACTTGGGAGATAACAGATAGTGATAACAGATATCAGATAATGATAGTTGATAACGTCAGCCAGCCCCTGCAGGCACCGGGGGGCTCCGCCACCCCCTGACCCCAATCCCTGGGGGTCCTCTGAGCCCCCCGGCAGCAGCGGGTGCCGGTGGTGGGGGGGTTGATGGCAGATTTGGGGCAGTGGTGGAGGTGATGTCCCAATTTTGGGACCGGTTGGCAGCGGTGATGTCCCAAATTTGGGGATGGATTGGGGCAGGGAGTTTGGGGCAGGGTCTTGGTGAGCTTCGTGCCCTGTGCATGGGGCTGGAATGGGAACGGGACTGGGATCGGGACCGGGACCAGTACAGAGACTGGGACCAGGACTGGGACCGGGATTGGGACCAGGACCTGGCCCCGCCCCCCTCGGCCCGGCCCCGCCCACTCCGCCCAGGCCCCGCCCACCCCACGCTGGCCCCGCCCACCCCAGCCCTGGCCACGCCCCCTCGGTGCCAGGCCCCGCCCCTCCCGGCTGCACGCGCTGCCGACGTCACCGTGTTCAGCCCCTCCCCTCCCCCTAAACCCCGCCCCCTTCCCCCTAAACCCCGCCCCTTTACTCTCAAACCACGCCCCCTTTTCCTTAAACCCCGCCCCCTCCCTCTAAACCCCGCCCCCTTCCCCAAACCCCGCCCCTCCCGCTCTGTTTACACCAGCCCGGCCCATACCAACCCACCACGCGGGAGGGGGGGGATTAGATCCCACAACCGATCCCCCCCCCACACCCCATTACCCCCAACCCCCTACACCCCACCTCCCTCCCCTTAACCCCATTAAACCTCCCCTCCTCCCCCATCCCCTCCCAGTCCCTCCGACGACCTTATTCCCCCCTCCCCATTTTCCCCCCACCCCCCCGCGCCTATCCGCAATGGTTCGCCCCGCCGCTCTCTGATTGGCCAATTCCTTAAAGGGGCCGGCAGCGCGCGCTTTTCCCCCCTCCCCCCCCCACCTCCAACCGGGGGGGAGCGCGCGCAACCCCCTCCCCCCCCCCCCCTTTTTAAACCCCCCAACGGGGGCGTTGCCATGGAGACGCCGGACGGTGGCCGCCGAGGGACACAAAGGGCCGCGAGGCGGCGGCGGGCGGCGAGGCGCGGGGCCATGGCGGCGGCGGCGGGGCCGGGAGGTGCCGGTGGTGGTGGGGGGGGTCCCGGTGGGGTCCCCCGGTACCGGCTGCTGGCTGAGATCGGCCGCGGGGCTTACGGCGTGGTGTACGAGGCGGTGTCGGGCCTGAGCGGTGCCCGCCTGGCCGTGAAACGGATCCGTTGCGACGCCCCCGAGAACGTGGAGCTGGCCCTGGCCGAGTTCTGGGCCCTCACCAGCCTGAGGAGGCAGCACCCCAACGTGGTGCGCTTCGAGGAGTGCGTGCTGCAGCGCCACGGCCTGGGGCAGCGCATGAGCCACGGCAACAAGCGCAGCCAGCTCTACCTGCGCCTCGTCGAGACCTCCCTCAAAGGTACGGACCCCCCCTACACCCCCCCCGGGTACCGGCACTGCACCCCTGGGCCATCCCCGGTACCGGTACGGGCTCCACAGGGCTCCCCGGTACCGGCACTGCACCCCCTGGGCACCCCCAGGCCATCCCCAGTACCGGTACAGGCTCCTCAGGGCCCCCCCGGTACCGGCTTGGCCTCCCCTGACCCCCCCAGGTACCGACACCGCACCCCCGGGCACCCCTGGGCCATCTCCGGTACCGGTACGGGCTCCCCAGAGCTCCCCCGGTACCGGCATGGCATCCTCAGGGCCCCCCCGGTACCGGCACCACAACCCCTGGGCACCCCCAGGCTATCCCCGGTACCGGTACGGGCTCCCCAGGGCCCCCCCGGTACCGGCACGGCACCCCTGGTACCGGCACAGCATCTCCAGGGCACCCCCAGGCCATCCCCGGTACCGGCACGCCCCCCTCTAGACCCCCCCAGTACCTGTATGGCCCCTCATGGCCCCCCCCCCGGTACCTGTACAGCCCCCCCCGGTACTGGCATAGCACCCCTGGATCCCCCCCAGTCCCCCCCACCTCCTTCCTTCCCTCCCCCCCACCTCTGAGCTCCCCGGACCCCCCCCAGGTATCTCCATGGAGCCCCCAGCCCCTTCTCTGATCCCCCCCCCGTGCCCTCTCCCCTTAGGGAGCAGCCCTGTCCCCCCCCTTATCTCTCCCCCCTCTTTATTCACCTCCCTGCCCTTCCCATATAACCCCAGCTCACCCCAGTGCCCCCCTGCTTGTCTCAGTCCCCCCCCATAAGCTGTGCCCCCCCCCTGCTGACGCCCACCCCGATCACCCCCATGGGACCCTGCACGCACCCAGCCCGCTGTCACCTCTCCTGGCTCCTCTGTTGCCCCCCCATCCCCTCCCCTCTGCCCCCTTCCTCATTGGGACCCCCCCAGGCCCCCCAACCCCGTGCCCCCCTCCCAGGGGTCCCCTTGCTGTTACCCCAAGCTCAGGTGCCCCCTGGGGACGTCCCCAAATGCTGCCCCCAGCCCTTCCCTGCGTGTGCCTTCTCCATCACACCCCAATTCCCAGCTGCTTGCCCCCTGCGCCCCCCCCTTGCAGCCCTAACACCCCCCCCCACAGCATGCCAGCACCCCTGGGGACCCCCCCCTATGCCAAGTCCCATCCCTGAGCACCCCGAGCAGCCCCTCTCCTGTGATGCTGGGGGTTCTCACACTTTTGGGGACAGGGGAGCACAAAGAACAGCCTCAATTTCCACCCCCCACCACCCCCCAGGGGTCCCTCGCAGCATCGTGGAGCTGTTGGGGTCACCACCATGCTGGTGACATCCCCCAAAACGCTCCCTTGGCCGCCTGCCAGGCCCCTTTTTGGCAACGTGCTCTGGAGATGTGGAAAAACACCAAATCTGCGAGGTGCCAGGACCCCAAACACACCCCTCGCGGGGCTCGGTCTCCCCGTTTTGCTCCGCACCCGTGCAGCCTTTTTCCTCCAGACCCCCGTGGCAAGCTGTGGGGCCGTTCCCCGAGCAGATCATCAGCTCCCAAAACCCATAGGGACATGGCTGGGCATGTGGGGCTGTCCCCACACGGCCCCTAATGCTGGTTTCCCTCCTCTCCCCGTGCTCAACCCCTGGAGGCAGCATCCTGCAGGAGGACAGGGACCAATTTCCCAATTTCCTCCTGTTTTTGGGGTGCCCAGCCGCAGCGAGGAGACCCCCCGCACGGAGAGCTCTGCCCGCCCTGGCCCTGCTGCCTCCACCAGCCCTGATTTTGATGCCGTACTGATAAATATTTATTTATTTTTTTTTAAAATCAGAGCTGAGCTGCGTCCCCGAGGTGCCGGCGTGTGGCCGTGCCGCTCCGCACGACCGCAGCGCGGCTATTTACGGGCTGCACAGATGCCGTGCCAGGGCACAGGGTGGGGGGGGGATTAATCACAGGCTCTTTCAGAATCGGGGGCATAACTGCCTGGATGCCGGGCTGTGCCAGGTCGCCCTCATTTTAAATTTATCATTCTACATCTCAATTTTGGGCTGGATGCAGAAGGAAGCCTCGAGGAGAGGTGGGCACGTGAGCGGTGCGCTCGGCGCCCTGATGCGCACGCACCTCCAGGGCTTGTGCCCTGTTTTTTACTCCTGACCCATGGTAGATGGGCAGAGCTGCCCCTCTCGGTGAGGGTCGCTTCCTAGCACCCCTTTTTCCGAGCCACCGACCCCCACCGTGCTCGTGGGTGCCCGGGCATCACCCGTGGGTCCAAGCACCCGGCTCTGCGCCGCCGGCACCGCTCTCCAGCGCAGCCTCCTTGCACGGAGGGACTCAGGATGCTGCTGCTGCTGTCATTATGCTGCTCCCTGCGATGCTGGGCGAGTCAGCGAGCTGGTAATGAGCTCCCAAGGCGGGCTGCAGGGATATAGAAGGGTTTGGCAGAGGATTGGGGCCGGCAGCACAGGGATGCCCGCTTGGTGAGGAGGTGCTCGGAGGCCAGGTTTGGCCTCTCCTGCATCCCTTCAGCTCCTGGCAGCCCGACTGGCTACAGATCTCATCCTTTGGAAGCGCCGTGCCAGCTCTTTATGTTTTAAAGCTGTTTGTTTTGAAGGCAGGAAGATGATTTAACAGCTAAAACACTTTGAGATTATAGGAAGAAAATGAGGAAATGTTACTCTTGGCTTCGGGCTCCCCCAGCAGCGCTCCACCCAAGGCGAAGCGCGGCTACTGCCGGGTCAGCGGCGTCCTCCAGAGGGTCGGGGGCCAGGTTTTAACTCAGAGCCTTCGTTCCAACACCAAGCCTCTCGTTGGAGCCAGCGGGACCTCGTCCCATGAGAACAGCACAAAGAACGAGCTCCGTGCCCTGCTGCTGGGCTTCAGCATGCCCTGGGTGTGAGCTGGGACGAGCAGCTTCTGCCTCAGCTCCCCGCTGGCACGTCCTCACCCCGGAGGGAGCTGCAGATTTCTGTCCTGCAGAGCTCAGCTGCCCTTTGCCTCTCCCCACCACGCAGGACCAAGGCGTCACCCCCTCATCCACCCCTTGAGGTGCCCCTACACCACGTCCCCACCCCATTGATGCTCCCCCGTGCCCCGGCCCTATCCCTGGACCCTGCTGAGGGCAGGGAGGTGCAGCCAGCCCCCGGTGTTGTGCCGTGTTTCATCTCCATAGCAGTAGCCATGGCTACAGACTGTTTGTGCAAATAACCCTAATTCCCACCCATTCCCACCCGCTCCCACCGCTGACCGCTGCGCGCCCGGGTGCCAGGGTTGGTGGCCCTGGTAGTCCTCGGCTCTACCTGCTGCTGGAAGGTGGCTTTCCCTGGTGGTCTCTAGGGCTTTGCTTTAAAAAAAAACCCACAACACGACTTTGTCAGGCGGGTGGAGTGAGTTAACTGGCCTCAGATCACATTTGTCTGGGCTGTGCTCGCTGTGGCAGAGCGAGCGGCGTCCCTGCTGCCTCTCCCCCTGGTCCTCGAGGGAAAACCAATTACCGGAGCAAAGCAAAGCTTGTGGCTCCTGTGTGCGGGCTCCTGCAGTCCTGGGGGCACGGTTTGTGTCCCGAAATGGCAGTGCCAGCAGCTGGCTGGCTCAGGGAGAGGTTGGGTGAAGGGAGAAGTTGGTCGGGCCATAATAAATAGCGGTGGCACTGCTCAGCAGGGCAGCAGGTGTGATTTACTGCCCCATGGCAGCCACACCAATAAAACACGACGCTATCACCAGCATCTGCCTGCTGTAAAGCTCAGTGGTGGAGCTGGTGTCCACCTGGAAATAGTTTTCCCGTAGATTTGCCGCTGAACCCCCTGTGCTTTCCTCCCCTGGGCTGCTTTGGCTTTCGGAGCCCGAAGCACATTGCCCCGTGGCAAGTTCCTGGGATCCCGACTGTCTTTGTGAGCCTTGCTGAGCTCACCTGGGTGCTTTGCAACGTTCCTAAATAACTCACTCTTCTTTTTTCCCCCTTTTTGGTAAGGCGAGAGGATCCTGGGCTACGCGGAGGAGCCGTGCTACCTCTGGTTCGTGATGGAGTTCTGCGAGGGGGGGGACCTCAACCAGTACGTGCTGTCGCGACGGCCCGACCCGGCCACCAACAGGAGCTTCATGCTGCAGCTGACCAGCGCCATCGCCTTCCTGCACAAAAACCACATCGTCCACCGCGACCTCAAACCGGACAACATCCTCATCACCGAGAAATCCGGCACCCCCGTTCTCAAAGTGGCCGATTTCGGGCTCAGCAAGGTTTGCGCCGGCCTCGGGGCTCGGGGCAAGAAAGGGGGGGGCCAGGAGAACAGGAACGTGAACGTGAACAAGTACTGGCTGTCCTCGGCTTGCGGCTCCGATTTCTACATGGCCCCCGAGGTTTGGGAGGGACACTACACGGCCAAGGCTGACATCTTCGCCCTCGGCATCATCATCTGGGCCATGATCGAGAGGATCACCTTCATCGACGCCGAGACCAAGAAGGAGCTGCTGGGGACCTACATCAAGCAGGGGACTGAGATTGTGCCCGTTGGGGAAGCGCTGCTAGAAAACCCAAAGATGGAGCTGCACATCCCTCAGAAACGCAGGACTTCCATGTCTGAGGGGATCAAGCAGCTCCTGAAAGACATGTTGGCTGCTAACCCGCAGGATCGACCTGATGCCTTTGAGCTTGAAACCAGGATGGACCAGGTTACGTGTGCTGCTTAAATTCAGGGCAGGGCACCGCCGTGCTCTGCAGCTGGGTAAGTGATCGGACTTTTTTTATTTTTTTTATGTTATTCCGTCCGTTTTTGTGTTATTCCGGCCCTGTACCAACCCGTTAACGCACTTTGTGGTGACACAATGGAGTCTTTTATGTTCCCAAAGCTATTTCTACCAGTGACTCATCAGAGCGCTGCTTCTGAGGGCTCTTTTTCCACCTATTCTATTGCAGAAATAAAGCAGAGGTGGGAAGCAGAATTAGCAGCTGGTGCAGCCCAAAGCCCCGGCACAGCCACGGGGCTGGCAGGAGCCCTGCTCCTTGGGGCCTGGCCAGGTTTTTGTGATGGGGGGGGACGTGTGAGCACCCCCTGACACCAGCTTTGGGTCCGTGCTGTGATTTGGGCTTCTCCTGGCCAAACGCTTCAATGAAATCAAAAAAAATCACAGATCACGAGGGGCGAGGTTGGTGTTTTTCCAGCCCTGGTCCCTCACGAGCTGGCACAGCACCTCCAAGTCCTTGCCCAGACACCAAGCAGATCCCTCTGGATCAAAGTAAGCCACAGGTACAAGACAGTAAAGACCCAAAATTGCTGCTGTAGCCAGAAAAAACCTGGCTGGCAGCCTTGTGATGGATGGCTGCGTGCTGTTCCCTGGGTGGATGTACCCTTTGGGGACAGGGGCTCTGGGATTTACCCAGCTCCTGGCACCCTGGGGGGCTCCCCAACTCCGTGTGTGCGCACAGCAAGTGTTTGATGCACCCCCCAAAGCGAAGCCCGAGGAGATAGGAACACAGGAATGGAAAAGCCCACTGGGTAGGTGCGGTGCTGTCACTGCTGGTTTGTCCAAACCGCTCCACGAGCCGTCCTCTTCGCATTCCTGGCACAAAATCTTTTGGCTCCCTTAAGCTCTCCTGCGCCAAATAACTGATGTGACCTGACAGCTTCTGCCAGGGGCTGGGGCTCGGCGCTGGTCCTGGGGCGAGCTTGGGCTGCGGATCAGGGCAGGGGAATGAGTCTGCAGGAACGGGAGTGCTTCAGGAGGGCATAAAAAAGCCCCCGGGGCCAGGGCAGGACACCTACTTCATGCCCTGGAGCGAGGGAGGAGGCGTTTCTGGGAGCTGCTGCTGCCTGGTGAGGGTCTGGGCTCGCCGCTGCTGCTGCCATCTGCTCGTGCCCGACACGATGCTGAGTTATGCAAGCAGCCCGTGCCCTCCGGGGGGAATTCATCCTGTGCATATCTGCAGAATAGGACATGCAGGGATAACAAACACGCAGGGGACAGTCCTACCCCGGGGCTGTTTGCATAAAACCCAGCTGCCTCCCCAGCCATCCTTCCCCTCCCCTCCGCAGTCAGCCTGCACCCGATTGTCTGCCGGTGACGCAGCTGCAGCGGCGATGCTGGGCTTATATAACGCAGCGTGGCCCAGATAGGAGCCCGGCCGTGTGTCCCTGCACACCCACAGCCTCACACGGCACGGCAGGAGCATCCCTCTGCTTCGTTCACGGGGCTGCAGAGCAGTAATTGTGCTCTCCTGGAGGGTTTTTTAATGCGCCCTGTCCGGGTGCGCTGGAACCAGCCTGGCTCCGGCTGCGCGGAGCTTTTGTTTAATGCAAATCTCAAATTTAAGCTTGAGAAGCTTAAAATTGGGATTTAGGGCAGGGCCTGAATTCTGCTCCCAGGTAATTTCAGCTGACTGGGAAACTCAGGTAACCTCCTGCCACTGGGCTGTGGCACCCGGGCGCAGGGACGTGCAGTTCCCCTTCCCTGAGAGCTGCTCAGGTTTGGTTCACGTCATAGCCTGGCAAACTCTAACCCTGATCCTGGCAATCAGATTTTCTCTTATCCTGTGCTCCGCCACTGACCTCTTTGTGCTCCACATCCCGGCAGCTCTGCCTTGCCTTCTGGTGCAGGTGCTGCCAGCGGCAGGCTCCGTACTCCAGTACCCTTCTAAAACACAGGTATTAAATTCAGTTCCCAGCCAGGAAAATGTTTCTGGCGTGGTTTCAGCTGAATGTTGGGGTGGAGACAAACCTGCTTATCACCTCCTTATCACCCTGTCATCCTCACCAGCAATTCCCGTGGCCCCAGGGGCAGCAGGTCCTGCAGAGGTGGGCAGCATCCCTTGGGGAAAGGGGTCCTGCCCTTCCCCAAACTGCTTCCCCGTGCCCTGCAGCAGGGGCTTAGGTAAATCCTGCCTTTGCTGCTCCAAAAATGTGCCTTCTGGGCAGAGGGTGCAGATCTAGTGCAGTTAGCAGCTGGATTGTGTCAGGGTACCTGCTGATGGTCTCCTGATAGCGTGGTTTAAGCAGTATTTCACCCTCCTTACTGATATGGGAAGGCTTCCCCTATAGTCAGAAAGGTTGTAAAGCAGCCGAATTTCGGCTTGTCCTGCTGTGCCTCGTGGCTCTGTCGCCTTCCTCAGCCCCCGCAACCCCCTGGCCATGTCCCTTTCTGCCCTCCCTTCCTGTACGATGTCGGTGAGGTCTCCCCTGCAGGTGCTGGGCTCTCTTCTCCTGTTTCTGAAGCCCCTCAGCTCCCACCAGGACCTCGTTGCCACCTCCTGCCCGCCGTGCCCAGCGCGTCAGTGCCACCCTCATCAGGTGCTGGGCTGTCGGTCACATCCTGCTGGTGCCGGGCGAGCGTTCGAGCTGCTTAAAACCCCCCCAAATGGCGTCAGCGAAGGGATTAAAAGCTCTCCAGCAAGCCCCAGGAACAACGTGCGTCAGCGTGGTGAGCTCTCTCGTCTCCGAGCTCGGAGCTGCTCAGACAAGGAGCTTCCTGAAGCTGCTCCGGGGAACGCGGACGGCGGCGCTGCCCTACTTGCTGAGCGAGCTGTACCCCGGGAGAAATCTTCCAGCAAATTCCTCGCCCCTGCCCTGACGTCCCGGTGGCTCTCACAAGCCTGTCTTGTTTGGCAGAAAGGGTTTTTTCTCGCTGCAGCCCAGAAAGGTGGCGTTTTCAGGCAGCCTCCCCAAAACGCAGCGTGCGCCTGGCCCCGGCTCCTGCTCCGAGCGGTGGAGGCAGCCCCGTCCTAAAACCTGCTCCGAGGTGTGGGCTTCTGTACGATTTCCTAGAAATCTTAAATCCTAGCACTTAGGAATTGGGCTTGATGATCCTTATGGATCCCTTCCAGCTCAGGATGTTCAGTGATGCTGTGATTAAGGGATCGAAGCACTTGGCAGCAGCAGTTTTGTTTCAGCAGCTCTCTCTGCTCCGTTTGTGCCAGTGGGGACCTGGCTGTGCCCCCGATGGCAGGGGGGCCTGAACCCCACTTTTACCCACAGAACTTGGCTCAGGGCTTAAGTTTTAACTACTGCTAATTGCAGGGAAATCACAGCACATGGTGCAAAGCACTGCGCTCCCCTTGCTCTGAGGTTTTTTTGGGGGTTAAACTGGGGAAAAGCAGCTGCTGGCTTTTGTTCCTCGCTTCTTCCCCCAAACCCAGGCACCCAGCACCCCGGCGGGCTGCGCTTTGTGCCCATCCTGCTCAGCTCTCGGTCGTGCTGAAACGGGTTTCGACGGCCTCTTGCAGAGCCACTTGAGAGCCCGAGCTGCTGCTGACGCACGGGGCGAGAGGCTCCGAGCAGCTCCCAAGTCACGGCGTGTTCCACACCTCACGTGGGCCCTCAAGGACGGGCGCTGGCACCCCGAGTGCCCGGCCCTGTGGCAGCCGGGCTGTCACCACGAGCCCCGTTTTGGGGCTGCGGGATGCCTGCTCCGTGCTGGGCTCTCTGAGTCACTTCTAAGAAGAAAAAAAGAGGAAAAAATGACCACAAACTGAGGCTTGAACCCAGCAGCAGGGCTGGACTGATAACAAAAGAGGTAAAGGTGGAGACGTGGAGCTCTCAGCCCTTCCACCCAGCTGGGGGGCTCCAGCACAGCCCGGTTATCCCATCACCTCCTTCCTCCTAATTGGGATAAAACCACTGATGTACCTGATCACCAAAACCGACAGACCTGGTCATAATTTCTCCTTTCTTGTTTTTTTTTCTTGCAGGTTTATCTACCAGGGACCCGTAATCTTCAATATTTACGTGCAACGGGGGATGTCAAAGATAAGGGAAGAAAGACGACGCAGCAGATCCCTGGTCTCTGCAGGATCTCTGGCAATGTGAATTTTTTGGGTGTTGCTTTTTGTTGGGAAAGAGGGGTTTTGGGGCGGTGGGGGAGGGCTGCAGGGGCCTGCAGAAGAGCACAGGCTGGGCAATCACCGTGCTCACTGCTCCTGAGCGAGACCCAGAGAGCAGAGCTGCCCCTGCCCAGCCCTCCCCACGTCCCCTGTGCTGCAGTTTGACTCGGTAGATGTTAATTAAGAAGATCTGGTGCCGTAAGGAGGTGGCAATCAGCTGCCGGGCACGAGCACTGAGCCCAGCTGGGCACGGTTTGGGGTTAAAAGCTCTCGTTTCCACCTCGGGAAACGGGAGCGAGGCGATTGCTGGGTTTGCACCGGGACTGCAATGCTTTAGGAAAGGTGAGGCTCTGGAGCTGGGTATTGCAAGCAGTAAAACTGATGCCACAGCCACGCAGCCTCACACTGCTTGGGCTGCAGGTAGTTGGCGTTAGGATAGAGCAGCATGAACGAGCTGGAAAGGTGCTGGGGAAGGGAGATCTGCCCTGGTTGTGGGCAGACCTAGACAGAGGGTGATGGGGAGCCCCTAGGTACATTTTTAGGCAGACATTGTCTGCAGACAAGAGAAATAGAAAGCAATCCACTGCTCCGAACCATTTACTGCCAAACTTCAGTGGTGAGGAACACCTGGGAGAAGAGGTTTGGCCTAAACGGCTCGTGGGCTGGATTCCAGCCTCCTGCAGATCACTTCTTCGTGCTGGGTGACTGTCTCCAGACGGTAAAGGCGACGCTGCTGGTCGGCTCTGGTCACTGTTACAGTTCAGTACAGGGCAGGCAGGGAGATGGGAACCTCAGGCTGAGCAATCAGCCCTCCATCTCCCCCCCCCTGTAATTAGAGCAACACTAATAACGTTCTGGAGCTGCCCCTGGCTCGATGCTCTTTAGACTTTGCTCACTGTAAATGCAATGTACAGCACCACCTCTACCACGTCTCCTCCATCCTGCAGGGTCACAGCTAACTAAAACGCTTCCTAGCAGCCTAAATCAGCTGGCACAGGTTTGGGGAGCAGGAGCGGGCACCTCCTTGTGCCCAGCGTGCTTTACTGACCTCCTGGGAAGAAATGGAAAAGGAGTAGGCTCCGTGGGGGCTAAGGCAGAGCGAAAATAGGGAAAGGGGAGGACAGAGCTGTTTTTTCTCCTCCATCCCTCTGCTACTGGGCGTAGCACTGAGGCTACTGCTGCGGGGAGGCCAACTCTTTAGGAAAACGATGCCAGCAGGATCCAGCCCCTCTGTGTTTTGGTTCTCCAGCAGCAGACCCTGCAGCAGCCCAGCCGAGAGCTGAAGCCCCTCGCTCACAGGTACAGCGTTAGTGCCCTGACCTCTGGCTCGTTGTTCCTCCACCCAGCAGAGCTTTTGCTCCGTACTGACTGTTACAACCTGCCCCTGGCTTGAGCTGGTGGCCGTGGGGGGCTTCACCCTCCTGCCCTGCGCACAGGTTTCCCTGCTGGAAGGGCTCTTCACTGGGTGTTAACGTGCCAGGAGAAGGGAGCTGCCCAGCAGGAGGCTTGTGTGCGGAGAGCAAGCCCCAAATTTAGGGCGTGGAGGTGGAAGGTGAGGGGCTGCCCTGCAGGAGCAAAGCTGAGAGCCCTGCTCCTCCCTGGGGGGGGCTGGCAAGCCTCAGAGCAGCTTGGTTGCCCCTCGTGGCCCTCCCAGCTCCAAGCCACCTCCCAGCCACACGTCTCCACCTCAGCTTTTGCATTGCAGATGTGTTTTTAAAGCAGCTTGATGTTCGTGAGCTAGACCGTAGTGCCTTACTTAGGAGTTAGCAAACACTTCCAAGGACGAGTCCCAGGGCTGCTAGCCTTCGGCCAACGTGGCTGTTTCCCTGTTTAGTTTGTCCCTAAAAGCGTTTTTCCCCCTCCCCCCGATGATTTTTGCTGCTGTTCGTGCTCGACTCCCCCCAGCCGATAGACGAAGCTGCCTTGTGTTTACAGCTCCTAGCATCTCTCCTCCCAGGTACGTTGGCTCAGACCCCAAATTCTTGCTCCTCCAGAGCAAGGGTTGTGCTGGGAGCAGCTGAAAACCTGCGGTCGCGCTGCTGGGAAATTCAAGCTAAGGAAAAGCAAACACTAAAAACCTGCAGCGCCTTGCCCAGCTCGGGGCCAGGCCATCTCCAGCTCTTGGAAGCATCCGTGGGGACTGGTGGTTTTTGGGGGGGGGGGGAGCCAAGTGCCCTCTCCCCAAATTTTACCACCCTGGAGGCTTGCGGAGCCCAGCCGGAGCCGTGCTGGGGGCGATTGTATGAAACTGTTTACTTCTGACTCTGCTGTTTACAAGAGGGAAGCGGGGTGGGTGGGGAGGGGGGGGATAAGCCAAGCCTCAGGAGGATTGGGAAACGCGTTATCTGCACCAGCCTGCGCTGTTGTGGGACCTCCCGGGCAGCTGCAGGCCCTGGGGAGGAGAGAGCAGAGGTGGCTCTAGCCTGGAGGGGTTAGATTAGCTCCCCCTTGTCCCCGTGCTGCTGTGTTCCAGGTTCAGCGGTGCTAGTGACAGATAAGAGTTCCCCCTGTGGTCTTCCTTTACTCCTCAGGACCCGGCTCCTTCACATATCAGAGGCTCCCGGAGCCTTTTTTGGAGCAATAAGACTTCAAAACGAGCGTTACCCATCGTCGTGGAAATCCTCCATCGCGCGCGTTGTGTGTCTTCTCTGTATGCAGTACCGGGTCTGGGTTTAAGCCTGTTAAATTTTTGGGGCAGTTGCTTACGGGGCACGCACTGGGACACCTCTCCCTTTCAGCCTTGGCGTTGAAACAAAGCAAATTTTGCCAGATTCACCCATTTCTCTGCCATCTGCCCCAGGGCTTTGAGCTCCGAGGGTGACGCTCGGGCTGAGCTGCTGCGGGAGCACGCAGGGGCCGTACGGGGGCTCTTGGTGTCCCCATCCTGGTGCCTGCCCCCTCCCCAGCAGCTCCTCCCTGGGTCTCCTGCTCCATCCTCCAGCAGAACCCAGCTGCTCTGCAGCACAGCCAGGTCCTGGCCACACCAGGAGGTGCTGGAGCCCCAACAGCAACGTGCGCACCGGGGGCACGGGGGCTGCCTGCCCCAGGACCCCTGCAGCCCTGCCCCAAGGTAGTGATGAGAGCACAAGGCTTAAACCCAGACTCCCAACTAAAGATAATGACGTTAGCGAATGAATCTGTATTATTTTTTTTTTTTGCACAGAAGCTGGTAATCTAGGACCTACGTGTGAACAACTTTATATAAATATTTTTTGTACTTGGTTTACTCGGGTTGGTATGATGAGATGTTCTATTTAAGTTCTTCGAACACTGTGGATGCCCTGATGTGAATGAGTGGCAGAGGCTTTGTAAATTAAGAGACGTTTGTGTGAATAAAGCTATGTGATGGGGTTGAAAAGCCACACACAATTTGAAACACGAGCCTTGTGTGCTTGTCCTCATTCCCCGAGCAGCACGCTTTAAGGTCCTCGTCTGCATCAAGCCAGCTCCTCGCAGCCCCACGTGTTCTCACCACGGTGTAGAAACCAGGTATGGAGCCAACAGCACACATCTGTGCCTTTAGGCACATCACCGAGACCTCCTGAGCCAGCAGCCAGGTTTGGCAATGCCCTCTGAAAAGAAAACACCGAGCAGTTAAGGTTTCCTGCTCCTTTCCCCTACCTAGAGCAGGATTAACACGAAGCACGTTTCTCTGCTCGATCTTTAATAAATCTGTGCGTGTCTCGTGGCCATGAAGGTACAGAAACCATCTGCATTGTCACAGCCACGGTCACACATCCACCTCGGTGCTGCGGTGACTCCTTCCAAGCCAGCTGAGCCTGGCACGGTGACACCTGTGAAGTGTCACGGGCTCCATCCCAAAGGTCCCAGCTGGGGGATTAGGGCACTGACCCAAGGCAGCTGTGGCCATTTATCTCACCCCACACTGGGACCAGCTCTGCTCTGGCTGCAGGCACCAGTGGGCCAAGTCACAGAGCGTCACAGCGATCAGCCAGACAGGTGAGCTCGGCCCCACTTCACATGCTGCCTGCAGAAATCTTCCCCTGTCCCTCTGCTTCCCAGCAGCTCAGGAGCCAAAAAGGATGAGCAGCCTCTTGCCCAGCCTGCCTCCAGCTCCAGAGGTGGCTCCCAAACCCGACAAGGAAAATACCCCACAGAACTGAGGTTTAGGACCGCAGGTGACCGTCTCTCTTTGCACAAACACTTGAGATGCACAAGCCAAAAATCCCAGTGAGGATGAGCCACGTCCCGCAGGTGACGAGACACCTTCGTGCAGAGGAAGGCAGCCAGCGATGTCCTGAGTGCCAAGGACATGGGGCCGGTGTGGGACACAGGGTGTCCCGGCACACGGGGCCATGGAGCATCGCCTGCCAGCCCTTGTGTAACAGCCCTGCACAACCCAAGGCAGCTGCAGTGCTGGGACGTGCTCGGGGCCATCCTCCCCTCCTGCTCCCCCCAGAACTGCCGGCAGCACAGCCACAAGCTCCCTGCATTCGCCCATCACCATTGTGCTCCGTAATTGCTGCCGACAGGGACCTAAAATGGAAGCTTTCAGCCCAGTGGGGCCGTCTTGGGGCTGGTTGGACCCAGCCCGAGCGATGCTATGGGGCTGGAGCTGCCTCGCTGCCCTCGCTGGGGTGGCTGAGCTGGGGAATCACGGGGCTGAAGGACACAGGCTGAACGTGGCACCCACCACGAGCACAGCCCTGGGTGCTCGGAGCCCCCCGGTCCTTCCCCAGAGCCCCTTTCCTGCAGGTGGGGAAGGGGCTAGAGCACTGGCAGTGGTTTGTACCTCCAGCCCCAGTGAGTTGCTTATCCAAAAGTGCACATGCAGCAAAGGGCAGCTCTGCTGGGCGAGGAGCACGAGGCCGTCCAGGGGCGCAGCTTCAGCAGCTGCTTTCAGAGCGCAGCTCTCAAAAAGCCCCCGCTTTGTGCGGTTTTGTTTCCTGGAACAATAGTCGGTCGGAAACAAAAGCCCACTCTGCCCGCCTGCGGCACGTGCCAGGTGAAAGCGGTCTCTAAGCAAAGCAGCCCCCCTCGTGCATGAGGATTTGGCTCGTTTCCCACCAAAAAAAGCCCCCACACATGGGATTTTGGTCCCAGGAGACACCAGCACCGCAGGGCAGCCCCCGCATCCCTCCACGGTGCCAGCCTCCAGGCTCACGGCACAACACGCTGGAGACGTGGCGTCCCCTCCGGCCCCTGCACACCCCGGTGCTGTTATCTCAGCCCCTGTAAATGTGATCAAGTTTTAAGTCCCCGGGAGCTCGGGGATGGCTCAGCCCGCACGTGTTGCCCCCGCGCTGCAGGAGCAGGCGACCGCGCCGCCGACAGCCAAAAAGCTTTTAACATCATTAGCAGAGTTTGGTGTCAGTCACCAGGAGAGATGTTTCGCTCCGGATTCGCTCTCTGGGGACCTATTTCATATGCAAAAGAGGGCTGCTATACTCCATAAAGACACTTCAATTGCTTGACAGCACACACAAAAAAATAAAATACCCTGGCAGCCATCCCCTGCGCCGGGAGGGCGCACGTGCGTCTGCAGGAGCTGCACGTGGCCAAGGCAGGGCCAGGGTGGGACAAGCACCTGCAAAAAAACCTACGGCCACTACAGCTCCACGGCCACCAACAGCCCCCGGTGCTGTCCAGTGCAAGCCCTGACCTCCCCCCCTCGAGGGATTTAATCCCTGAGGTGCTGCCCCCAGCGCTCCCCCTCTCCCCGGACCCGCTTTTGACACGTGCGCTGGAAACGTTTTCAAGAGCCTGCTCTCGGCAGAGGCTCTGGCACTGCTTTAGAGCCGGAGCATGAAGTCACCCCGCGCAAAGCACAGGTCCCTGTTTTCTTTCGAGATCTCTTGAGCTCCCCAGCAGCCAGCACTTCAGCGCTCCTCGCTGGAGCACTCCACCAGCAGCTGGCCCAGCGGGTAGGAGGGGAGCAAGGGCTGCGCTGCGGCACAGGACATCCATCTCGCCTCGTCCCCGCGCTGATGAATTGCTGGTTTACCCCGTGTCAGGCTTCGGGAAGCAGAGGATGAAGAGCCTGAAGCTACAGCGAGCCCACACACTCCATTTAGCTGGGAGATGACTCACGCCAAGCTCTTCACGCAGGAGGAGGTGACGATGACACGCGAGGGCACTCTGGAAGGGGGATGGCTGAGCTCGCCCGGAGCCGGGACCTCCTCGTCCTGCACCCTCTGGTGCTGCTGTGGGACAAGCACAGGAGGCTCAGCACAGGGCCAGAGCAGGCTGTGGATGGTAATTAGCCAGCCCTCGTTAGGTAACTCCGTCCCATCAGCCACAGCATGGCAGCACTTCTCCAGCACCAGCTCGGGCAGGAGCAGTGCAGCCCACGATCACCCTGTCTCCCCTAACACAGCCCCAGAGAGGGAGCACAGGGAGAAACATCACCAAAACACCTCCTGAGCAAAGCCAAGGCTTCAGAAAAAGAAAGGTGGCCAGGTCAGGAAACCAAATGCATTTTCTGCCCGGCACCCATCCCATCGCACACTCGTGGAGGTGCGCGGGGTGCCCACCCTCCCCTGCCTGTCCCCACACCAGCGACTTCTCTTCGCATGCAACCACTTCAGGTCGGTCCCAGCTCCTCAAACAAAGCCACTTCTCATCCACAGTTCGTTTCCTGGCAGAATTAATGGCCTGCACTACTCTGGGGACCAAGAGAAGCGCTGGGAGGGAAGCAGCGAGGGAGCGAATTAAGACATTATTTCCTCTGCCAGAGAGGGATCTTTAAACAAGCTCTTCAGCCGAGAACTTTAATTTTTCTTTTTTTTTTTTTTTTTTCTTTTTTTTTCTTTTTTTGTTGTCGTTAAGGTTTTGCAAAGGAATCTTGTTCTCCAGAATTACATCCGCCTCCAACCCCACTTAGAGCTGCCAAAGCCCGCGCGTCCCCAGGGACCGGCGTGTGAGCAGCGAGAGTTGGATGAGCTGACACGGGCATGACTTCACCTCCGCCGTCCTGCACCTCCGCCGGAGCCCTGCAGCATTCCCAGAGCAACGCCCCGGCCCCATGGATCAGCCACAAGGACCCGGCTGCGTGGTGCCGCTGCCAAGCAGCTGCTGCGTCCCCGTGCCCAGCGGCAGGGCTGGATGAGCCCCCCGGGGTGAGCATCCCTGGGCGAAGCCCGGAGGACTCTGTGGGAACGGAGGTTTTAGGCTGATTTATGCAGCACTTCAGGGCTGCAGATTAACGCGGCAGCCCTGAGAGATGGAAGGGAGCGCCAGGAAGCTGGGCAGGTGATAAATTTCACCACGCGGGCTCCAGCTCTGCCCGCTGGTATTAAAGGTGCCACCGTGTTCCCAGCAGGATGAGTGCAGGGATGCTTTGTGTGCTGGGGAGAGCAGGGACCTTCCACAGGGCCGTGGACATCACCTCTCTGGGAGCACCACGTCCTGCTCCTTTGTGAGATTTTCATGGAAAAGGGGTACGCATGCTTCTTGGCTGACACGAGCCTGCCAGCACCAGCCATCCCGTGGGGTCTGGGACATGACAGCCTGCCTCGAGCTCGTGCTCAGGGATGGCTGCTCCGCAAGCTGCAGCACAGCGCAAGGATGTCCAAACGGGGTTTTGATGAACTTCCAGCAACACAAATGAGCTCCCGTGATCCCGCTCCATCTCCCCGAGCTGGATGATCTGCAAACCAGCCTCTGCTGTAAGCCTGAAGCTCAGCCCAGCGTTCATCTCTCACGTCCACCACAAGTGTCTTAGATTAATGAGGTCTTAGATTAATGAGAAAACATTAATCAGTCACCAACTGGAGAAAGGAAGCTCTGCGTGCCCCTGGACTCCCCTTCGGAGCTGAAGAGCTGCCCAACCACCACCAAGTGAGGAAACGAGAGCCAGGAGACAAAAGCTTCCTTACCCGAGGAAATCCCAAGCTCTCAGCCCTGCCCGTAGCAGATCTCGTGGCTGAGCACTGAGCCAGGTCCAGACCAGGGCAACTTTTGCCCCAAATCACCTCCAGACCCAGCAAGCAGCAACACCCAGCTCCAGCACAGGCCACAGCCCTTGGCCTCCTCCCAGCTGTGGGCTCTTTCCCTGGGGGGTTGTCAGAGGGTGCAATTAGCTGGAGATAATTGGTGCCTTGAGGGTGCAATTAACTCCTTCCTGGCCTGGCCCAGCTGGGGCTCCCGTACCCCAGCAGAGCAGTTCTGCCCCCAGCTCCCCTCCTCCTCACCTCCCTTCTGAATCACCTGCTGAGCAAACCACGTTCGCTGGTGCGTGGTGATGATTTCGATCTGGGGACATAATATAGCTGGAATGTATAATTTATTTCAGGTATATGAGGCACCAGTGAAACTGGGGGGTAGGAGCAGTGAGTAAATCAGTCACACCCTTGTGATAAGGGGGTTTGAAGAAGCAGGGAGCAGCCGGCTGACAGGCAGCTCTGCTCTGCAAGGCACGCTCTTGGCTCTTGGCATCAGAGCTCTGTCCCCAGGACAGGGGCCGCGGTGCAGCAGGTGCTGCCCAAATTTCGGCTGGCATCCACCTTCACCCAGCAAGACCCTGTGTGAAAGCAGAGAGGAAGAGCGTGCACCTCCTCACCACGAAGCCCACCGTCCCCTCTGCTCCTGCAGAGGTTTCCTTCGCGGCAGATGACTGTTTCATAATGCAATAGATGTGAAATATGAAGACAGAAATTGCCAGCGACTTTTAATTTGGATTCTGCCAATTTCTCTGTTCCAGCTATTGATTTTCCATAAAGATGAATTCCAGCTCCCGGCTCTCTCTGACAGGCATTATCTGGGTGTTTTGCTTGCTCCGGGAGTGGAAATATATGTTTTATTAAGTGTCAGAAGTCACTAATGAGAAGAAGGAGGAAAATCAATTGTCTGCTCATATCTTGATCCCAAAGACAGGGCTAACAAGTTCTTTATTTTGATGCTGTGGGCAGGAGGACAGGGCAGAATGACAAACGTGACAGACAACAGCTGTCAGCTCCTCTATAGGGAGAGCTCAGATGATGAGAGGGGGGAAAAGGAGTGTATTGCGTTTGATTGCCTCAAACACGTCTGTATTTGCATTAATTCAAATAAATTCATGGAGTGCCAAAAAATCCTACAGCTGAATTGATCCCTGCGGTGAAGGTACTGAAAACACTAAAATTACAGCTTGAAGACCATCAGCAGGTTTATGCTCACATTCCTAACGTCAGGACAGAAACTGGGCCGGCTGTTTAGGATAGGGGCAACCAGCAGAGTTCCGTTTCTCCATGCTAATTTGGGATGAAGATTAGCATTTATAACTATGAGAATCACAAGCTAACTGAGTATAGAAGTCTCTGCAGGACTTCAGCTATAAACCCAGTTTCAATCTCACATCATACCGTGCTCAGGTGGCTTCTACCCCTACCAAAAGGCAGAGCAACCCTGGCTAGGCCCAGGGCTTCACCTCTGCTGCTTGAAAAGCTCAGATATTTCATGTGGTTCAGTTGTGCTATACTTTCATCTTATACCTCTGTAATTTTCAGGTCATTTCTGGGGTACAACCCCACCGTAGACCTCCTCATCTCAAAGGCAGGCTCTCCCCTGGGAGGTGTAAATACAAAGAGACCCCCACATATTCAGAAATTGCTGGATGGGGGGGTGCCAAGGGAACTGCACACAAAGCGTGAGCCCTGTTCTCAACTCTTCCCCAGCCACCTAGAGCAGGAGGAGAGGTGAGATGGACCCTGTGCAACTCTTCTTACATCTTCAAGTCCCCAGACCGCCCAGGCTGAGGTCCAGTTCTGAGCACACTTTGCCCAAATGACAGGTTTCAGATCGATGACATGAGCATCTCAGCACATTCGTTCCCTGCAGGAACTTGGCATACTTATCCCAGAAGTGATTTCTGTTAACCTCTTCCAAGCACGGACATCAACCTTCTTCCACTTACATTTGTTATCTTCTACGTCTGTTACAGAATCACAGCTGACAATTGTATGGTTAATCTCTTGGCAGCTGTGAAATGAAATGGTAAGCTCCGGCTGCCTGCAGAAGATGCATTGATTTCTTAAAATGACAGATCGTGTCCTCGCTCAATGCTCGAGCACAAGCTCAGGGCCAGGGTTATGGATCCTGACTCTCATTCAATTAAAAAAGCTTAGCAGAGACGCACCAGCTAAGCATACAAGGCAGCATTAAGGCTAAGCCCTGACCCAAAGACTTAATCACGGGGAGTATGAAAGCACCTTCAGACGCAGGACGCCTGTCCAGTTTGCTGATGAAAGCACCGGTCATGGTATCGAGCTTATTGCCATGAACCAGACGAGCCTGTCTCTTCTCTGTGATAAAACAGAGGTGACTGGCCAGACGGGTCCCTCAGCAAAGGAGAACAGGAAAATCCCTTTCTACCCAAAAGGAAGCTTGTATTGCTTAATGGAGCAGTTTATATCCTATTTCAACACATCTTTCTAATAAGGATTATGTGTTTAAGTTAACAAAACTCCAAGACGCTTTGTGAAAGAGCCTCAGTCTCCCTGCAGAGAGCAAAACACTGCAGTAAGTCTGGCCACAGCTGTAAAACTGCCAGATTCACTGCTAGGAAGTGAAAATATCCACCACCCCACCCCGCAGCATGTCATAAAGCCCAGCGGATCCCACTGTTATCCCAAATCACCTGTGCTTTCCTGGGGAGTGGTAACATCTACAGAATAGCAAAAATCAGACCTGAAGCCTGTCTATGGATATCCCAAATCCCACTCTGGGCTCAGAGCAGGTGTTAAGCAGAGCAGCAGTGGGGTGCTGGCAGATGATGTTCCAACATTCGGGGATTTAGGGCACAGTCATTCACAATCATCCTCCCAGAAACGTGCTGTTCTTTGGACTGGTCCATGCAGCTGGGGCTGAGAGGATTCACCAGACACAGGCAGATCCAAAGATTCAGGATGAGAATAGCGTTGATAACACACCAATGTTTAAGCTGCTGCTGAGCAGTGCTTACACCAAGTCAAGGACCTTTCAGCTCCTCACAACCCCCTGCCACTGAGGAGCCTGGGGGTGCACGAGGAGCTGGGAGGGGACAGAATGAGGACAGCTGCCCCAAAATGGCCAAGGGGAAGTCCCATCCCACATGGCATCATCCAGAAAATGAAGCTGGGGGAGTCAGCTGGGGAGGGTGGCTGCTGCTCAGGGATGGGCATCAGTCAGCAAGTGCAATTGCATTGTGCATTTGCTTTGTATACTCCTTTATAATAATAATTTTTTTTTCCTTTCCCTTTCTGTCCTATTAAACTGTGTTTATCTAAATCCATGTGTTTTACCTTTTTTTCCTTGATTCTCTCCCCCACTGGGGGCAGGAGGGAGGGAGTGAAAGGCTTTTTTGGCACTTAGCTGCCTGCCAGGTTAAACCACGACAGCCAGACTCCTCCGAACACAGTCCCTTCACCAGCTGAGCACTCCCATAGCCCACAGCAAGGGCACAAAATGGGAGGGAAACAGAACTTGCTTGTTACAGAGAAGGGCAGAAGGCAGGAGCCCTCACACTCCTGCTCTTTTCTTCAGTGCACTCCAGGAAACCAAGCTGGCAGCCCAAGACTCCTTGGCACAGCCCTTGGCGGTGGTGAGGGAGCACACAAAACCCAGCCCAAAGCCAGTTCCAAGTCCCTCAGCTCCAGGACTGATGCACCACGACACCAAGACAACCAGCCATTGTGCACCTGGCTTGTTAAAGCAACCTGAGATACTGCTTCCAGGGTGAAAATAAACACATTGAACAATTGAACAGGGAGAAACAAATGATTTGGAGAGGAATCCCTAATGCTACAGCCCTTGAGACAGCCAGGGTGTGACCCAAAACCCAACCCAGCCAAGCCGATGGGTGTGCTAGGAAAGGCACCTCTGTAAAAAGGGGATGCCAGGGGGAGACGTAGCAGGACCACATGCGTTTGGCCCCACCAGCAGAGATTGGAGATGGAAACCAGCTGCTACCCAGCTGTAGGGAATGGGAACAACTCCTGCACCCAGCCATGGGTTCCCTGCCACGGACATTGCTCTTCCTGCAGCCTGGGGACAGTGCATGGAGCAGTGCTTTGGGAGCATGCCACGTTTATTGCCACATCTGTTCAACCAACAACCTCCTCGCATTGCAATCCTCATCCTCATCCCACAACCCCAGCCGTGGGCATGGAACAGGCCCCGGAACAGCCCCCATATGCCACAATGCACCACCATGGCAACCGCCACGGCCTACTGCGGACAGCCAGGCCGCGGGTGCAGGCCAGGCCAGGCTGGGACGGGGCCACTGGGGACTGAAGAAGTGGGACGGGACTCCTTGGGGCTGGTCAAGGTAAAGTGGACATCCCTGAGATAGGGCAAGGTGGGCCAGGGCTGCCCTGAGCTGGGCAACGTGATTTGGGGTTGTCCTAAGCAAGAGCCTTTGGCTGCTGCAGCCTTCCTGGGCTGGTGAGGGGGCTTTGGCCCTTGCTGAAGGGGTCAGGGCTTTCCCAGGGCTCGGTTTCAGCCATGGGGAAGGTGTTGGGGTGGCTCTACCTTCCTTTAGTTCCCCCTTTCCACCCCAGCCCTATCCTTGGGGTGCCCAGGGCCACACAGCCCCAAGCTGGTGCGTCTGCAGCCTCCGTGCTTGCAAGCGTAGCAGTGCTACTGAAAAACAGGCATTTCTGGCAAGAAAAAAAGGATACGAAAACAGAAAGGAAAACAACTACAATCACATCTCTGTCTGTGGGCAAACAAACTGCACTAGACAGCCAAATTGCTCTGAAAGCGGGGTGGTGTAACCTGTTGCGTTTGTTGTCCCTGTTCCACTCCATACCGGGCTGCCAAGAACTGTCACTGCTTTGGTTTAGGGTATTTTTGTGGAAAGAACAAGTGAAAAGAAAATACAGCTTGTTTTTTAAGTTGACAGCTTTCTTGGAAAAAAAAAAAAAAAAAAAAAAAAAGAGGAGTTGCTGTGGATGAGTGAATTAGTATAAAATGCAGGGAGGCCAGTCATCTGAAAGGTTTACTAACTCCTGAAATTGCTGTGAGGAAGTATTATTAGTTCCTTTATCTATTTAGGGAAAGGGAGGCTAAGAAAAAACTATTTGTCAACTAGATAACACCATCTAGCTTCTACAAGACATGTAGGGATTAAAATATCACAGCTAGATACTACAATAATTTATATACAACTAGACAGTTACGTAGAGCAAGTTGCTAGATCACATCATTGCAGTATGACTGGGGCCACAAGTTTGCTTTCAGAATTCCACATTTATTTCTCTTACAAATCAAGCGTGTTCAGTTTGTGAAAACCACATTCTCGGTATCAAGTTGGGCTCTACGGGAACATAAGAATTTAGCTAATTTCTGCCTATGATACATGAGCCAGAGATTCCTCAGCTCAGACACACTAGAGAAACACTTCCCACCTCAGCTCATCTGGCACCACCAAGGACACATCTTTGTCAGTAAACGAAACAGCTGAGACTAAGGGAGCAGATACAGACTTTTAAAAGACCATTACTGAAGCACCTTACCGGTGCTTTACATGAAATGTAAATAACGGTTCAAAGGTGCTTTACATGAAATTTCATCCTTTTATCATAAATTGCTTGTGGACTACCAGCGCCATGGCTCTAGAGGCAAGGGAAAATGAGTTGCTATGAAGGGCTGGGGTGATGATGTAAACTATAACCAAAGAAACGGGACGCAATACATCACTGTGCACGTTGCCAGGTTACGATTGTCCAGCAGCTGCTTAAAGCCGAGGCGCAAGGAGAAGTGTGGGCTTACCTCTTGAAAGCTGTTGTGAGGCTGCCCTCAGAGCACCGCCTGGTTCTGCCTGCTGCATACCTGCTCACGTGGAGGAATCACCAAGGTGATTATGTAGCTTTAGGAACTGGCTTAGAAAATGGGGTTTAGAGGCTCTCAAACCTCAATAACCCAGCAGATTACAAGAGAATAATAGACATCTCCAGAGATGTAGAAGAATGGAATTGCTTACAGGAGTACAAACACATCTAATTAAAATGAAAACGAAGATAAAAAGATAGAGAACAAATTTGGTAGAGTATACTGGAGAATAATTCCTGACGGTTAATCTATTATACAGAGGTATAACCTCTCCAGGGGTGGGTAGCAGGAGATAAGTTGATTAGAATATATAAAACATCATTAACGTACAAAACATTAGAAACTATACAACTATAAAGGAAAATTCCTTTAAAACTACATCTAGTCCAACAGGTCTTTCTCATCTATAAATTTATGAGCTAAGCTTTAGTTAAGAGAGGAGAGAAGAGTCACAGCCATGATTACGCTCCCTTCACAGTCGCTTTTCCTTTGGTTCTTAATTTTCTTATAGGTACTTTTTACACAGCAAATTTTGGAATCATGAATGTGAATCCAAATGAATTTGGAACCAGTTTGGAAAGCTCTGTGCGCAGCAAAGAGGAACAAGACAATGCTATCTTGAACATGTACATGGAGAGAAAAAGCCTTGTTCTACAATTCCTGCAATCTAACCTGAGCCCCCAGCTCCTTGAGCATCATCAGAAGAAACTTGAGCTTCTGAAGAAGTGTTACTACTATGTGGAGGTTATGCCCCCACACATAGTCATGAGAGACGAGAGCCGTGCATTGATTTCCACTGATGTCTTCCAAATAATCGACTCCTGGAGACTGGAGAGGATGAAGAAGGTCGCAAGAACCCAGACTGAAATCCAGCTGGTACTTTTAACTGAGCTGTTAGAACAGCTGCAACGAGGTCGGGAGGAGCTGGTCTGCTACATAGAGACAAGCGACGTGATAACTTTCCTCTCCAAGTGGGACTCGGTTATGCAGAAGATGTCAGTTCTCTCTAAGCTGATGAACAAAGTCCTTTCCCTGCAAGTCCCAGGAAAGCTCCACGCCAAGCACCGTTTGGTGTCACATGCAGACATCAGAGGTACCAGAATCCCAAACATTAAGCTTTCTCTCACTACAAAGATGCCAGTGGTGTTTGATCGAAAAGAATCGGTTGCTTACAAGAACTGGGCCCATCTCAAATGGTTCACTGAAAATCAGGAGTCATCCCCTGAGCAGTATGAGCTGCATTTTAGGTTACTGAAGCATGGAACTCAGACGGAATTGGGACAAAGGGGGATTGTTGCCATCAGCTCCAACACGTGTGTTGTCTTTGATCTGCTGCCTGACAGATCATACGAATTCACAATCAGAAGAGCAGAGACCTACACACTTGTCTATGAAACATGGCATGACACCATTACACTGACGACAGCGAGCTCAGCTGAAGACAGCAGCACCTGTGAACCAGAACTAGCTGACAAAAAGGGTTTACTCATTTTTTCCACTTGAAAAAGGTAAATGAGAAAATAAATTACTTAAATAAATAAATAAATAAATAAATAAAACACTGCGTAAATCTGATTTTTTTTTCTGTTTTCATCAGCAACTTTGTAAATGCCTTCTGCAAATCCTTCCAGGTTAACAGTAAGCAATTCCAAATTTTGCAGAAAAAATAAATACCTTTTTTTTTTTTTTACTAAAAATGAAGTAAAAATAAATAAAATTTATTTTATTTTTTCAATGCTCACTTCCTACTGGCCACAGCTCCTAGGTGGATGTAGCTAGAAGCCAATAGGCAGCCTTGCAGGCCACCTCAGATGCAAAGCACAGGAGGTAGAAACATCTCTATCATCCAGTGCTTGCCTTCCACTGAAAGATGCCCAGTGCTGGCTTCTTGCAGTTCTGTGTTTTTGTTTTGTTTTGTTTTGTTTTTGGTTGTTTGCTTGTTCATTTGTTTGTTTGTTTTCCCCAATTTCTTTTTCCCAGCATCCTTCCACCAGAACACCTGAACTGAATCTCAAACTCCTCAAATCACTCACCGCACCTTGTCACCGTCGCTGGCTCCTCTCCCCACTATGCCTTGTAATTACCTAATCATGATTTCATGCTCACCCCCTACAGAGCATGAAAAGTTCAGTCTGATTTTTAAAATTATCAAAGAAAACAAGCAGGAAAGGGTAATACATCCAGAAGACCAATATCTAGAAGGCAATCTTTTCTGCCATGTGCTGCTGTCAATGCTAATTTTCTTTTTTTAACATTTGTTTCAGTCCAAATATAGGTGTTCCCACACAGATTCAATTCAAACTGTCACACAAACAGACCTTTCAGTAATAAAATTTATTATTTAAATAAGTTCAAATCACTTTTACAATTATGGCTTGAATATCAAAAAAAAAAAAAAAAAAAAAGGAATGTTGAGGTTCATTCTTACAAACATTATAAGCAGGTAAAAATATTTGTATCCAAAGAGTCATCTGAGATCTTCTGCAAGTTACAGACATACAAAAAATAAAAACCTGCCACATTTAAAGTTCATTAATTTACACTTCATGACACTTAACATTTCATTTCTATTAAAAATAATAATAATAATAATTATTGCAGTAAATTGACCATTCTACACAGATCTGTCCAAATCCTCAGAAACAGTCCATGAGGCTTCTCCTTTGCCAGCTGGACCAAGGAGAGGTTTCCTAGCTCTGCACATCTGCAATTTCACTGCCAGTCGGAGCAGGACGCAAGGTGACTGCGGTAACCACGAAGACCGCTTACTGCATGTGCTGGTTCCTGTTGTTGAAATCAGGCTCTAGCTCTAGTTAATTCAGGGGAAATTAAATCATCCTGCTGGACGCGTGTCCTGAAACAATGTTCTTGTGTCTGGGAGCTATGGAAAATCTAGAGCCTGTGATCCAGCAAAATACCCTGTGCACCGTGCTGCCAGTTGTTTCCTATTGGAATTAGCAAGGTGAGTTGTTTTGGTTTTTGTTTGGTTTTAAGAATATTTGCTTGAACATAAAATTAATTCAAAAGTAAATTAAAAGCTCTGTATGCAAATGAAACCAAACAACTTTCAATTTTTTTCCTATGCTAATTTCTATGATTCCTTCTATTCTTGAGCATAAGGACAAGAACATGATACTCAGCTATACCTAACAGTCTACAAAAAGTTTGATTAATTGCACTTTCTGCTAGCCCTGACTATTACAGCTACATGACCAACTCTACAGGTACCTGCTCACAGCACAAACAGCCAAAGCACCTGGGCTGGCTGTTACTGCTGCTTGGGTGATTTGCAGGAGCATTTTCTAAACACCAGTTACAAAATACATCTTCAGAGGAAAGAAAAAAATAAATCTATGTATTGTCTTGCAACACAGAGGTGACTAAACAAAACATTTCAGTCTAGGCTTTACCCTCCAAGGCGTAGCAGTAAACATTTTTTTTTTTCCTCCTGGTGAGAGTAAAGGAAGTGCTTTGTGGGTCATTTTCTTGGTCCATAGAAACACATGGCCAGACCCCACACAAGAGCACTGGACTAAGCCACTACACCTGAAGAGTCTCCTCTTTTGTGTTAGATGTAATGAAATAACCAGCAGAAATAACAGGGGAGAGACTCCTCAGTTACATCAGATAACAAAAACAAGGCCTGCTGGCTCTAAAGTGACCAAGATGAATTTGTTAGAATGATGCTGGCACCAAACAGTTCCAGCATCTTCTGCAATTCTCCAAATCATCTTTGAGATAGATGACTGCATTTCACTAGCTGACAAAGTTGTTCCTATATGAGCTTATTTTGGAATTGCAATATTTGCAAAATCAGGCTGGCATGGAATCGTTAACAACCAGGGTGGAATGACTTTGAGGAACGGAACTTCACATCTTACCAACTTTAATCAAGCATCTTTAGAACCAGCAGGAGTTACTTCCTAAAGACTTTTGCCCCAGGTGGAATTGGCAGCCATAGGTCAGTTATTATGCTTCAGGAATACAACAGCAATCCTACGTGGTCTCTAATGTACAGATCAAACCCATCGAATGGGGAAGTGCAGGAAGGTAGTTTAAAACAAGGAAGAGAGGAAGGGAATTGCTCCATAAGTTCTTGAGTCAAGTCTATCAGAGTCAGAACATGAGAAGTAACACAGTGCCAAGTAAGAACCGACAGACACAAAGCTTTCTTATTGCACATTCCTTCACGGTGGGAAGAGCCACGCAGTGCTTTCAGTTGCAATCACAGGACAAAATTCATCCCTGCCATTGTGCTGTGAAGTCATAGAGACCCTTCACATATGCCAGGACAACTTGAGTCCCAGCACAATATATACGTGGTGCAAAAACGCTGTGATTGCATTTTGGCTCCATCCCACGTGAACATCCAGAGACAACCAAACGTGTGGTCTCGGGGACAGCTGAGGCAGGCACTTCATACATTCAGAACTGAAATGAAGTAAAGACATTCTCCTTCAAAACTAACGTGCTTCAAAAGCAGCTCCATGATTCAGTAGAGAGCACCACTTCACCACTATATATCCATATCAGCCATAAGTTACTGTGCAAAATCAACCTTCTCTAGGAAAATGACAACTTCCAGTTCACAGCAGTTTGGCTACTTAAAATAAAAAAATACATCATACACACATATATTGTGATACATTTACCAAGTTTCCATCACTGCTCTTAAAAACTCAGGCCATAGACTGTGAAACAAACTCACAGATTTAAAAGTTAATAAATTAAAAGCAGCTTTAAAAAATGGAGAGTAGGAAAGATGGGGGGTGCCTTTACAGGAGGAGATTTCAAATAAAACTCAGAACGGTTTAAAATACCTTTAAAAATTCCAACATTTCCTGGTAGGAGCAGTCCTTGGTTTTCATTAACTTTATACAGGTGAGGACAACCTCCTTTGTACAAAGAATAAGTAAAATCTATTTACAAAATCAGCTTGGCCTTGGCTCCGTGGTATTTACAAGCTCAGAGAACAGCATTTTGGCTAGACAGCATGGTACATGGTTCTCTTTTTGCTTTCTTTCTTCGCTTAAAAACAGAAACAAGCAAAACATTGTTTTTCTGCTTCGAAGAAAAAAAAAAAAAAAAAAAAAAAGCCTTAAAAATTCCCTGGACTTCATTTTACAATGAGTGGTACTACTCAGAAGCTTTGGTCCCATATGGCAATTCAGTTTGCTGTGCAGATCTGCCACGTGCAGTTATTCCACCTGCAGTGAAAGGGCCGTGTATTTGGTCCCCAAAGCACAGCTGCACTGACAGATAGGATGGTGGCTCCACTGAGCATCTTTCATTTAAAAAAAATATCACTAATAAAGTCACACGCCCACCTACCCACTTCCAAGTGCTTTTTGGTTTGCTAGAGCTGAAAATTCCTGTCCAACGTTGCAGTAATATAAAAAGAAAAGACACCAAAGCTCACACTGAGGCTGAGCTGTCAATGTGCAGGGAAAGACGCAGGCTCCCCCGGTGCATTTGGCTCAATGGTTCATGTTCAAATAATGGAAAGATTTGCGTCCTTCCCAAGGCACGCGAAGCACAGTTTTGGTGGAGACGGACGAGCGCATTAAGACAAAACCATCCGGCGCAAGGCTGACGACTTCCTGACAAGAATCTCCTGGGCTGTGGTATAGCAGTTACGCTTCATGTAATGCTGAAGCAGTCTCCTCCACAAAGGGTTGCACTCCAGGAGGTACTGGTTCCCTGTTGGCACAGGGATGGGAGGCAAGAGGTTAGTAGCCAGAAGAGGCTCACACGACACCATCACAGACCGGTCAGAGACACTGTGGCCTAACATTGCTAGCCTGATGGTGCTGGGTAGCTTGCAGGGATATTCTGTTCAGCCAGAGCTCTGTGAAACCACAGCTCCTTTTTCAGTGCTGCCACATTTGCGAGCAGCTTTCCTACACATCACAGCCTACGTCTGCACAAGTAGTAGGAAACAGAAGCAAAATTCTGCCAGGAGAGAGCTCTAAGATGCAAGTGATGGCAACAACATGGTCCAAACTAAAGAGAGAATATACATGCTGCACATGAGCCACACACGCTCTCTGCTTTGTGCAGATTGCCCAGATAAAAATCACAAAATCACAGACAGTCTAAAGGGCAAAAGAATAAAGCAAGCCCCTCGGTTGTACTAGTGCAGACCTCCATCCCTTTCTCCAAAGCACCCCGTTCCCCTGCAGGCTGGAGCACGCTCCCAGCTTACCCACCTAAAATGCAGAGTCCTTCCTGAGCTCGGGTGATGGCGACATTGACCTGGTTTGGGTCGGTAACAAACCCCAGGTGCTTCTTCTGCCAGCTCTTCGTGGGCTTCCTGTCAATCTCAGATCGAGGGCAGGAGCGCACAGTCGACAGGATCACGTACCTCCATTCGCTTCCTAGAAAGCACGGACGACCACACTGTTTAGAAGGAAGCATCTGGCCACCCCATAACACACTCATTTCTCTACAGCAAGACCCACAAAACTGTCAGCCACAGTCTGGATTTCTCCAGCGTTGGAGGC